GTAGAATGCGTGTACGCAATAAATTAATGTAGCGTATTTTCCAATACACTCATCTTTCGAGGTCATTATTACAACACACGACCTAAAAAAACTTCGTGAGTTTATATAATCAACGCTAAATAAATAACAGCAAGGATTAATATCATTAACTTTGTTTTAAAGAAATATCATCATCGCCAGCCTGTTGATGTCCATATTAATAGAGCGCAGGCTTTCCCTATAGATGAAATCGAATCGAAACGAAAAGAGAGAATGGGCCATGAACCACACGAACCTAGTGAAGACGGCAGATACAGCAGATTTCGCTATTTTGTTGACGCGTCGTGAGCGTTTCCATAAGAGTCATAACATGAATGTCGCTATGTGGACTTTTTACTGTGACTTTGTGAACTATTTTTCCGCTGAATGAGCAATTTCGATCTTGGAGCGTAACACATATATTTATATATATACACGCTGATTTGATCAGTGACCGTGATTTCATTAAATATAACAAAAAATCGGTACATTAAAAACCGGTAGAAATCGTGTTCTCTTTTAGAGGTTGTGTAATATTTCGATGTTGTGTGTTTGTGTTATATTGACTGTAGTTATGTAGAGCTGCTCAACCTTCTTGATAGCCGGACCAAGCGGTGTATTTATAATTTTAAGACGCCACATGCCATTGACAACTCTCAATAAATATTAAGTAAGGCGCTGTCGTAAAATAAAGCATATTATTTTAAATTACCTTATTGATAAATGAAATGAATAATGTAATTAAAAATTGAGAGCATCTCATGCTAAATTAAAGAACAGCTGACAGCTTTAAATCGTAATCAGCATAAAATTGAACAATTACAAGTTCTTAAAATTTATTTATAACTTATTCGTATGACCGATAGATAGATAATAGATTCTAACTATAGTGCCACATATTAATAAATTATCGAATAGACCTGCAGCATATGCCGTAATGAAGATACGTAGATTAACTGACATAGATACTGCCAGATTAGTATACTTCAGTTACTTTCATAGCGTAATATCGTATGGAATCCTATTGTGGGGAAATGCTGCCGACATACAAACTATTTTTGTGCTTCAGAAAAGAGCAATCTTAGGATTAGGGACTCTTTAAAGGAGAAAGTTAAGGAAATAGACATAATAACTGTTGCTTCTCAATACATATACGAGAACTTAATGTACGTTCGTAAAAATATTAGTTTGTTTTCTATAAAAAGTAATGTACACAATTTTAATAAAAGAAATAAAAATAAATTATGTAAATTACTGATAAATTTAAGATAAACTGTAGTAAATGCTGTTTAATAAATTCCCTCGTGAAATATTGTAAAAAAATGAATTTAGATTTTAGCATGGTATGATGGGGTTGACATGTTCTAAAGAATAAAAACCCCTTAAAAATTAAAAGAATAAAAAAGAAAGTTAACGCTGTCTGTCATTAGACAGCAAAAAGTTAATAACTCATTCAGGGGTCTTTGTGTGCGCTTCTACAATAAGGTCCCAAGCAAAATACAACAATTAGATATCATTCAGTTTAAATCTTCTATTAAAAAAGCTTATTACAAAGTATCCGATTTATATAATAGACAAGAATGCTTGGAACTAAGATGGGCCAGCAATTGGATAGGTGACTTCTTCTAAACTTATTATATCTCAAAAATTTTCTTGTTGCCTTTATTATTAAATTATTATGTTATCATTATTAGACCATATAGTTTCACTCATTAATTATCATTAGAGCTAGTGAGTTTCTTGCACGTTCTTCTTATCAGCCAAAAGACATCCTGAACGAATGGTAGGGAAAAAAATGTTGAACGATGCAAAACTACTTTTAAGAAGTCTATTTGAATAAAGTTTATTTTAACTTTGACTTACAGACCCACGGAGCTCTGTGAACAATATATTTCGTTTGTCTTCGGGTTACAGAATAAGGGGGGTGTTGTGGCTGCTCGATTTAATACAACTTATCTATTTTTATCCCAATTAACGTTCTTTTTACCCGACTGCGCGACGCAAAGGAGGATAATGTGTTTATCAGTCTATGTAGATACATAGACTGATAAACACATAGATATGTATGTATGTTTCTATGTGGCGTTCTAGAGACCAAATGCGTCGGCTGATTTTGATGATTCTTACGTCAATCGATTCGTCTTAACCTTGCGTGTGTCACTAAAGACATGACAATAATCAAAATTCATCACAGTAATCAAAAACAACCAATGACAGTAATCAAAATTCATCACAGCGACAACCAGACGCCATGTTGTCAAAATGAAAAAATCTAAATCGATGAAATATGTCAAGTGGGGTGTCGTTGAATAGGTATTTTAAAATGATCTTTAGGTTCCTTTTATCATTTTTCATTTTAAATAATAGTTTAGGATATATAATGATTTAAAGTTGTTTGACAAAACATTCTCGCTAATTTTCTTACTTATTGATTTAAGTTTTTATTTAAAGTACTAGCTGACCCGACAGACTTCGTCCTGTCAAAAAGATTTGTAATGTGGCAGTTTTTTTGCCTACGTATTTAAAAAAATTCTCCTGAACAGAACCGTCACCCTGGTGATAGGGCGTTGTGAATAAAAAATAATTAAATAAAACATATATAAGGATTTAAAAGTAAGTAATCGCTTTATTGTTAATCATGTGAATCATAATTATTATTGCAATGTATTAATAGTAATAGTATTAAATATAGAAAAAAGAGATTTTTATGATCATAAAAACACATTACACACAACAGCATTATAAAAGTAAACTATTCGAATTAAAAAAATATATAAACATTCTCAAGGAAAAATGCTGGAAGAACCCATCTACCTGTACCCCGGAATGGGACTCGAACCCATTCGCGATCCAGGGACTGCTCTAACCAATGAGCTATCTAGGACCCAACAGCTTTGCTACTACAGAGCGTATTTTCATCAATGTTCCGGCAATACATGTAATGACGTGGAAACTGATGCATTTTATCTCGCGTGCCGAAACTAATACAAAAGAAACGCGAGTTTCGGAACGCGACATTAAACTCCTCCAACTATGTATTCTGTGCTCCAACGCACACACGCACATTGTTTTGATAGATATGATCTTTGACGTTAGGAACACACCTACATTGCTTAGACAACAGTGAGTGCTTGTAATTTAATATGAACTTTATACCATAGCAATAAAGCTCAAATTGACTACGTTTTAGTTACAAATCATTTGTATGGGAAAAAGAAAAGGGCTATTTTTAGGGTTTTTCCAGCAATAATTCTAATTTTTCTCGCCGTAAAAACCATCCTTGAACTTCAACGAACATTTTAAAAAAGATTTGGCCAAATTGGTCGAGGCGTTGTTGAGTTATGCGCTTACCAACACATTTTGCGATTCATTTTTATATATATAGATAAACGATATACAAACAAAAAAAAAACAGTGAAAAAGCATGAACAAATATTTTTGGTAGAAAAATAAAGCATATGTAGCTTTGAGCCGAGTTAGGTCTCCTCTATAGATAAAGGGTCTAATCATCAGAAGTTACTTAATAATCCCCACGATATTAATTCCCTCAATGAAATAACTAGATTGCGAAATTTACCATCTTATAACAAAATCAACGAATCGTAACTAAAAAGCATAAAATAAAAATGAATAATTAAAAGAAAAACAAAAAACCCGACTGCGTAAAAACTAATTTAAAAAATACATTAAAAAATTAACTTAGATAAAAACTAAAAAGAAAGAAACAAGCCCAGTAGTTTAGAATTCTGTTAAGTAATACAGAACGGAACGACTCACAGTCTGGGCCCCTTGGGAAGATTCGATTGGTAAAATTTGAATGTGCCCGACTGTCTGTTCTGTATGAGTTAACAGAATTCTAAACTACTGGGCTTGTTTCTTTCTTTTTAGTTTTCATCCAAGTTAATTTTTTCATGTACTTTTTAAAATTAGTTTTTACGCAGTCGGGTTTTTTGTTTTTCTTTTTATACTTGTTTTCGTGTTAAAAAACTCAAGTATATTTTCTATATGCTTAAATAGGATTATATACGTTAACCGTTGTTCACTTGTAAGGCCACAATTATAAACACGCCAATCCAATAAACCCGTACTTTATGCCCATTTAATAGGTTATTTATATTTTTTTATAATTCTTAATACTATTGAATACCTATATTAATCATATTACAAATAAGTTTATGACCCTAATAAAGCAATTTATGATCGAGTTTAAGTTAGGATAGATCTCAACAATTTTTTTTTGTTGACCGATTATATAAAAAACAAATTATATGATTTAATGTTACGCTTAGTCTCCCTATTTTAGATGAAAATGCTGTTCTTTTCTTTGGAATCGATAAAAATATCTCACATAATTAACCTTAAAATACTTTTAAGATAAATTCCTTTGATATGCACAACTAATTGGTGCGTCTGCATTCCACTACAATAACACGAAAAACAGACCGCTGATATAACAAGACCAAAACGATACTATTTCTGAGAACTCATTAGGTGGCTGAGTTTCACCACATTTCGCCAGATAACAACCAGCTTGATAAGGCAATAGAAACCTAAGATTTAACGTTTCCAAAATAAGGCATTTTTATGTTTCAGTGGGCGTTTGTTTGTTAAAGATATCCTTGGAAGTTTTTACTTTCTAGAAAATGGCATAATCATCTCACCGTATATACAAAGTTATCGAATATTATTCGGACACACTATTTTCGAAATACCTTTATTGAACAAAGCAGTTAGTAATACTTTCTGTAGAAAAGGAAACTAATAAACGACTGATAATGTATTATTTTGTTACAGGCCTTCTCCTCCTTACACCGCAAACTAAATGCCAATATCCAGTTCACCATCCGGGTAGGTATGCATCAATACTTCTACACAAATCACTTGAATTTATATATTTCATATTTTTTTCTAAAAACATATAACCGATTCTTTTCGTAGGTCCCTTTATACAAAATGGCCGAGCTGATTGGCCAAATCCACATATGCAACAAAGAAATCCACCCTGGCATCAGTTTTCCTCACCCAGAAAAAGATCTCCAGAATATAGTCCTGTGCTACATAACTATGAGGGCATGACGAACATACAACCTTTATCATACAACCAAGGGCCTTTTGGGGCCCAAGCGAACGTACAAAACGTTCAGGCATTTCCGCAAAACTATGACGGTAGAGCTTCATATGATTACATCCAAGCCGAAGCTACTCAAAACGATGGTCGTCTACTATCAGACTCAGCGTTCACAAGAATATCAGAAACTCTTGGCGCTATCAATACTGTTGGACACTACCTAGTCGACATGGTTAATGAAAACGAGAGAGATGAGTCAGATCCAAACTTGAAACAATTGCCCCAAGCTCTTTATACAATAAGTAAAAACGTTCTCGGAAGAAATGTCACTGATAAAATAGCTCCGATTGTAAAAAAAGCTTTACCAAGAGTATTACCTGATGCACCTATCACTAAAATAGCTACAGCTGGTGTAACTGAAAACGATGCTAAGTCATGCACGACACCCGAAGGTGAAGAAGGCGTTTGTGAAGATCTGAGTAACTGCCCACAGTTGCTTCTGAATTTGGTGAATCTCCGAGAGTCTTTGTGTTTTAAAGACCTTTTTGTACCGGGTGTTTGCTGTCCTAAAGGTGCAATAGTACCAGCCACACCGGCTGTCGAAAAGCCTGTAGTCACAACAACGATCAAACCGACCTATTTGGTGCCTGTCACGACGCAAAGACCACAGAGACCACAGAAACCTCCACAAAAACCGTTACCGAAACCTACAACGACCAAGAAGCCGTCAGCCATATTAGTATTGACCACAAAGAGGCCTAATCCTGTGACCACCGTCAGACCTACCACTGCACGACCTACCACTGCAGTGGCCGTGACAACTGCTCGGCCTGTGTCAACCACCAGTTTCTACACTGTACCACCGCCAATTTTAACAAATTTCTCTAACATAGTCGATATAGAAGGTAAGTGCAACAGCCATAAAAACTATACTTATATTATAAATAGGAAAGATTTTATTATTTTATTTGTAATAGGCTTAGCTAAGCTTCTAGACTATTTTTTTTAAATCTTTCACTAATGAGTCTACATAATCGTGGGTGACCTTGGCTATAATTTACGCGGGCGAAGTCGCCAGAAAACAGCTAATAATTTATGAGTATATAGTAAATTTCATCTATAAATATAAAATATTTGTTGAATGCGTCGGTCGTTACTTAAAAATTTGGAAACGTCGAAGGATTGCCAAAATTTTACAACTTTTCTATGAATCTGATATGACAAGAAAAAGTCATCTTTCGTATTCTTCAGAATGTGGGCAGCGTGAAGACGAGGGTGGGCGTATAGTAGGCGGCACAGAAGCGAAGCCAGGAGCGTGGCCATGGATGGCTGCTATATACCTGCACGGCAGCAAGCGGCGTGAGTTCTGGTGCGGCGGGACGTTGATCAACAAGCGGCACGTACTCACAGCCGCTCACTGCACCAGAGACTCCAAGCAGAGACCGTGTGTATCCACGACATAAACAACTGGTCTCCTATATCGCATGAAATTCATTAACATTAAGAACATTATGTTCTTGACATTCTAAAAAACCTCTAGGTACAACATTAGCGCGTGAAAAACTCCTAGATCAACATACGTTTTATTTAAATAGCTTAAGAAGTTTTCTTTCAAAAATTGTGGAGTCAATAAAATTAGGTTTTAAAAAAGACCTGCAGTCTTACTCTTGAATGCAATTTCAATCCAATCCAATCCAATAACGATCTAAATTTTACAATTCTTGAATATTATAATTGTATGCGAGTTGAGAACATAAACAACAAGTTAGCTACCGTAAGCCTCTGCAACAGCGACCATCGCAACATTTAACCCATATACAATGCTAATTTAAAAGAAAACAGATACGAATTATAGCACAAATTCAATATTATTTGGTTTATTCAATAACCACTCAATATCAACGAAATTGACACTAGTGTCGCAGGAGAAGAGTATCAAACGCCACAATTCCAATATCAATCGATCGCCATTGATTTCAAGATTAAGCCTGCTGGTGTATTGTAAATCAGACATAGGGTTCCATATAACATATTGTTTCACATTTGTTTCGCAGTTTCCCAGCGCGTCAGTTCAGCGTGCGTCTCGGGGACGTCGATCTGTCGCGGGAGGACGAGCCATCGCGTCCGGTGACGCTGCGAGTGACGGCGGTGCGCGCTCACGAACAGTTCTCCAGGGTCGGCTTCTACAATGACATCGCAATACTTGTGCTAGCTGGTAAGTTTTACCAAGAGATGGGGAAAAGCTGGGCTGAATTCTATTACATCGTAAAACTACAGCTAATCTAATCTTATTTATTTATCTATCGCTGTTCCTTGTCGTAATGCTAAGATTCGAGAACTGCTAGGTTAATTTAGCTGAATTTGCAATATTTATCTAGGGAAGGTTTAAACGGTGAGAAATACACCGGGTCATCTTGTCCCATATAAAATTCTTTCACATTATTGTTTTACATTCATACCGAAATCAACATTTTTGTTCCGAACCTCAAAAGGAGAAATAGAACCTATCATTAACTTATCTGTTCAACTGTAGGTATGTCTATCACAATTAATTTCCTCAGAAACAACCAAAGTAAATGAATTGTAAGGTCAATTCTGGCTGACATAAAAGTCTATAGTAAAGGAAGTTAGTTTACAGTTTTTAAAATTCAAAATAATATTAGAACAGAACTCATGGTACACGAATCGTGTGCATGAGCCGTTTTTTTAATAAGTCTAGTCATTTCCGCTTTTACCACTGGAATTTTAACTGCGCTTTTATTATACAGATATATTTTAAGTTAGTTTAAATATAATATTTTAGTGACTTTCTAATGGCTTTCGAATTTTGGGAACCTCTTTTTAAATTATTGGAAACATTATCCATATATCTGCAGGATAACAGTTATCTGAATACAGACTAATACTTGTCTTCTACTACCTAAACTACTATTCGGATAGCACTTTTGAATATAAACTTTTAATCACTCGCCAGGCTATAGGTTGAAAGCTTTTAATACATACATATATCTACAATACAATACCAACAAGTTACATATACACAAAAGCATGTCAGGTAAAATGACACCGTAGTTGAAAGTTTGAACTCTAGCTTCAATGTTTAAAAACAGTGGAAGGTTTAACATACAGTGGAGAATTATGACAGTCATATATAACCTGATGTACTGTCGACGATACAAAAATTGTTTGCCGAAGTTTTACTGCGACCTTCGAAGTCCTGTCAGGCTAACAATCAATAACCACTTTAGTCCATTAACTGTCGCTCTTCATTTCCATAATCGACATATGTTCAAAAGATTTCATATTCGAATTCGAATAAAGAATTTCGAACTATATATTATTTTTCGAACTTTATTAAACGCACGTATCGAATTCCAGAAAACGTGCAAAAATCAAAGTACGTGATACCGATCTGCCTGCCGTCCGGCGATCTGGTGAGGCAGCAATTCGACGGCGCGGTGGGCACAGTGGTTGGGTGGGGCACAACGCGGTACGGCGGCAGTGAGAGCTCGCGGCAGCTGGAGGCGCGCCTGCCCGTGTGGAGGAACGACGACTGCGACCGCGCATACTTCCAGCCCATCACTGACACCTTCCTCTGCGCCGGGTACGCGCGCGGCGGCGTCGACGCCTGCCAGGTCGGTACCTCATACATCACTCAACCACCAAACTTTTTCTTCTTCTGCTTCTTCTTCTTCTTCTTAACGGCGGGTTGTTTTATATCAAATGTAGATAAATGTTTCAGATACGTTTAGTCTACATTTGGGTGTAGATTAAAGGTTCCTCGGGTTTGTCATGCTAAGCGTGCTGTTGTCGAATTGCATGTAACAGCGAAGGCCTTATTCCGCTCATCCCAGTTCAAACACCGAACTTATTCATAGGGCAGTACTCAGTTATGGTCATTTTAAGATAATGCATTGGTAAACCTGTTTGGGTGGATAGCCTGAACAATGATGAAAATACGCTCTGTAGTAGGGAAAAAGTAACAAGTGCTTGAAAATTTCGTCAGTCCTGTTAGGTCCTAGGTAGGACAGGAAGTGGTTAGAACAATCGCCAGTAACTGGGTCTTCTGCCTTTATGTAACAACGTTATAAATTACATCCTTCGCACCAAAAATTTCGAGTATTTTAACGTAGCGTTAGCATGAAATTCAATCGAGCGAGCAAAGGATAGTTTTGGTAATCTTACATGACAGATAACGCTGTACAGATATCAATAAAATAAGTTTTATAATTGCATTTATGTAGTTATAATCTCATCGTTAGTCATACATGTCACTGTAATTATGTAATTATAACTGTAATTGTGAAAATAAGTAAAATAATTGATATGAAGTCGTAGAATTCAATCCCGAGGGACCTTTCAGTAGGACAAAAATATACATAGAATTATGTTTTTATATACACCATCCATTCAGTGGCGTAGCACCTAATCATATCCAGTATCTGATATAAGTCATGATATGAAAAGGTAACAACTCTGAAAATCTGTTAGACGTTATATATTATTGCAGGGTGACTCGGGCGGGCCATTGATGCTGCAAGTGGGCAGCAGATGGACGCAGATCGGCGTGGTGTCATTCGGCAACAAGTGCGGGGAGCCCGGATACCCAGGGGTCTACACACGCGTCACACGATACGTGCCCTGGCTGCATCAGAACATGCTTTAACATTGCACTTCATATGTTTAAAGAACCGTAGGAAGAATCACCCCTTCCCGCATGAGAACCTTTTTTTATAAACAAGGCTCACATTACGTATGTGTAACACAATATACCAGTGTTGATTTTATTTGTAAAACTGACTGAAAAAAAGGAGGTAGCACCATGGTAGGAGCCATTTTTTACGTGACCTATGGTTGAAAGGGCTGTTCACAAATAACGACACTAGTTCAGGGGGTTGTTCAAGTGTAATAGAATTTATAAAGATCATATACTGTGATGGGAATAATTATTAAATATTGTTGTGTTTCAATAGTGGAAATAAAAACGTGTTATTAGGCTTTACTTTAAAAATCTCTATTCTGATTTCAGGATTTCAAAAGCACCATTAAATTTCATTGAAATCAAAAAATAATAAACTTGTGTGTAAACTATCTTATTAAAAATTCATTTATGCTGTGTCGTATTAATTTTTTTGTTGACGATAACAAATTATACAAAAACCTATATTAACTTAACATAAGTACATAGGTCACTGCAGTTACCAAAAATTAATAGTGCTACCGTTTTACGTTAGTTCGCCATATTTAACTGTAGACTTATTTTGTTGTCTATAATTTATTTCGAGCTTGTGACATTCTATTTATATTCTATTTATTATTCTATTTGAAATATAACTGAGTGTGTTCTATTCCACTCACTTATGTGATAGAACTTTGACTGTTGAAATCAGTATAATTTGAAAGACTCTGATTTTATATTATAGTAAAAAAACAGAACATGTAAATAAAATTTATCATAATAATAATTAATGGCTTTTTATTTGTTTCATTGACATTCCTTTTACTAGTCTAATAGAAGTACATAATGACTTAAATAATAATAATAACGTAAGCAGTGCCTTGTAAGTGGAGAATTAATATGCGAAATGAACTTTACGAGATCAGTTGACTGTATTATTATACAGAAATATTTTTTTTTCCATTTTTTTAAATATTTTTATCCCTATTGAAACGGTAGAATATGGATACATTTTTTAAAATTGAACTTCAATGAAAACGTCTTCGTTTGCGTATGCCACCGTGCATCCCCGCCGCGCCCGGCAGTCCCTCGCCACAGCCCCCGCCGAAACGAAGTCCCAGAGTCAGTACCCACTGCATGTCACTTTAGTGTGAGCCAGCCTGCGGTATTGAAGCTGCTAAAAACAGCCGAACTCCATCTGTACCACTTTCAGCCGGTTCAGCAGCTCCATGACCTAGACCCAGTACCACGTCGAGCCTTATGCGAGTGGCTTCTACATCACCGCGATGCAAACATCTTGTGGAGGAATGAGGCATTGTTCACACGTGAGGGACTGTTTCTTATGGGAAAAAGTCAAACGCCGGGATGTAGAGGAGGCACAAAGTCTAGAAAACTTAACAATAAAAAATAATAACGCTTTTAGTGAAGTGAAAAGTGACACTAGTATTTTAAATAAATAAAATGACTATTTAATGAAATGTGCACGTTTATGTCTAGACAAAGGTGCACAGGCTAGCATTATGTATATATGGCCTGACATACCGAACCGGACAAAATCGGACCAGACCTGAAAATTTAGTGTAGTGCACAAGCGCCCTTAAGAAGTTTAAATATCTAAAGTGCTATTACAATTAGCTATTGACAGTTCTTGATTTATCTATATCTATACTAATAATAAAGTTGAAGACTTTGTTTGTTTGGTTGATCTCTATAATCTTAGGAACTACTGGTCCGAATTGAATTATTTTTTGTATTGAATAATCCATTTATCGAGGAAAGCTATAAGCTTTATATATATGACAAATAGAAGTGGAGCAAAAAGGGAGAATATTTTACTTTTTGAGAGCTTTCCTTACGTGCGCTACGTAAACGGTGAAAGTTACGCAAAAATCATGTATTACGAAATTGATCCACTTTAAAAGTTCTAAAAAAAAGGTCAGCGACGGTATATGTCTATCTTTTATCTTATACAGAAAAATAACACATAAATTGATGAAAATGAGAGTGGGAATTCATATAGGGTACACAACCATAGTAACCATTGATTACAATTCAATTTCATACAATGTCATCTTTTACCAAAACCATTTTTAATTTATTCACTTGATATTGGCTTGAGATTTTTTTTGACTATTTCAAATGGGTAGAGCCGTTGTCGCTAATATTAAATGCATATTTTATATTGGTTAAGTACAAGAAAATGTTATATTTAGCTGACGCTACTTATCAAGAGATGACGCTACTGTACTTTTAAATCGGGATTTTGATTTTCGTTAAGTTTACAAACTTTATTTTTTCCGATGTTTATCAAACAAAGTTGCTTTCGTTTTCAATTTTGCGGTTCATCCAATAACAAAATTTAATGGGCAATTATTAATAGAGCGATAAATAAAATGTTACTTGAACCTGTTTTCACTAGATGAGACTACTGTATTTTTAATCAACTTCAAAAATTAGAATGGGATAAATAGCCTCTGTACTTGGTATCTCGCTCTGCCCGCACTCTGTCGTGTTGTAAGCACTTAGTACACGGCTGACACACTGACACATGTCATCAACACGGAACAAGTTCATATTAAAAAAAAAACCGATTTGATATATGAATATTATACACTGTAGTCTTTGATATGAATGACAAGAGCTCTGCATTGAATTATAAGTTTTACTCTTTGAGTTTGATGTACGTTCTATTATTTTTATTTTCGCATGAAAAGAAAATACTTTAATAATTTCGAAAAGAATATGATACATGAAAAATTGTGTCCAACTTGATTGTCCGTAAAATTGCATACATTTGATGTAACCAAAACGACCATCAATATGAAATACTCAACATCACCAACTCCAAGCTTGAATAACTATCCAAGGAGCACATCTCCACTCCCGGCACCAGCGAACTACCAATCCGCCACAGTCAGTGCTGCTACAAAGAGATACAAATATTTCCGAAGACTTTTTAAATTCAACCAAATGGATTTCGAATATGCTGCATGGCAAATGGTATATTTGTTTGTCGCTCCACAAAAAGTGTTTAGGAATTTTAATTATAGAAAACGTAAGTTATAATATAAGATATTTTACTTAATACAATGAAATATAAAAGAATATTTACATTTAATTTAAGCACTGGAGAAGCAAATCATTATTTTAAAAGTGCTTCCAAAACATAGATTTGGCCATTGCTAAGTTCTATCACACCTTCAGTTTATTGGGTAAATGTTGCCCCTTATATGTGTGGTTAACACTTAAAACCTAAATGAGTATTTACAACAGAATATTAAGAAATAAATAAGGCTTACCAAAATCATATTATTTCAGATACAAAATCACAATTTGCAAGAGATGACCCAGCGTTTTTAGTATTACTCTGCATTTGGCTATTCTGTAAGTTTTCCTACAATATATATGATGTACTAGAGTTTTTAATTAACCATTTCTTTGACTTGTTAGTCAGTGAACAGCTTTTCTCAAACTTTATGGGTAATAGAACCAGGGTTTGGAGTGATAATTATAACACACTTCATAAACTCATTTTATATTTCAGAACTTGTTATTAAAGGGATATTATCGTTAAACAACTATTAAATATGGCATTTATGAAAGGGAAAATTTTATTGGATGTAACTGTAACAACATAAAAAAAAACACCTTTTTATCATTTTTAAAATTGTATTAAAGTTTTAATTTTACTTTTTGTTCAGTTTAATTTCACAGTTATTCTATTGTTTGTATAACTTTCATATTTTAAAAGTTTAATCAATTATAGATGCGTTTCTGTATTTTAAAAATTGTTGCCAGTAACTATGGATAATAGTCATGATAATTATGAACCCCGAATAGAACCCAATTTTTTTTATAAAGCCTCAAGATAAAACAAAATCTTTTTATGTGCACCATTTACTAGGGATTAATTACATACATATTGTTAGCGATGCAACTATTGGAATGTATTTTTTTTTAAATAATGATAGCGAGACGATTGATAGCACGAGTCGAATGATGTCTCGGGTTTTTTCTATTTGTTTTTAGTTTTGTCATTTTATATACTCTTTTTTAAAAGTCATTAAAATTTTTCCCTTCCAAAACTATGTCGTTTTTATTGAAGTTTAGACATATTTACTGCGAGCCCGTGTCGTCTACACATATTTTATTTAAACTCTGATCATTTGCATATAAAAATATTGATCATAAATTTTTGTAAACCCCATACATATAACATTCAAACATGAATGATTCACTGAAGTCCATTGAAGAAAAAACTTAAATAGTACAACCTCTATCATATTGTGGCAATATTTTTTTACAAACTAATAAGTTTCTGTATGCTTCAATATTCTGAATCAAATAACTGTAGTATAATTCCAACATCAGTAAAGCTGTGAATGATTTCAGAACCTTATTAGTTGGTAAATAACTATTGCTGATCTCCTTTCAGCAAAATTAAATAATATAATTTATTATTCTACCTAAAGGGTTTATATTAAAAGAACAAATCCTGGCGAACCAGAATTATTCCAATAGGCTGTAATATGACTATGAATGAATAAGATAGATACTCAGTTTTGTAACTGATGCATTATTTAAATTTACACTTAACTGCACATCAGGCTACGTCAGTATATCAAATTTCCACAATAGACTTTCTACTATAGCGTCAATGTATTAAAGTTTTAAATCAAGTGGAGAAATTTGTCAGTATCGATTAAACTGCTGTTGACCAAAAGATCCATTTACAAAGTAACTTAGTCCCACGAGCCAATATACTTATAACAGCAATGCTTGTTGATTGGTAATAAATTAAATAACTGTTAATGTGGTACTTTTAAATGTGCCAAATTTTAAATTTAATTTTGGGATAATGATGATAGATTAGAGCCTTCCAATGGTTGCAAGGGTCAATTATCTTGCACAAACTAAATTTAATTTAATTTTAGTCCTGTCAAAGTATGTTTTGAATTTTGTAGTTTGTTTAGTATAAGAAATAATATGAATGAGCAAAATTTTATCATGCTGAAAATATATTATGTTTATTTCAGTGTCATCAATATTTTTTGCAACAATATGTTTTGAGAAACAGCTGGGAATTGGATTGAGCTGGAGTCAGGTTGTACTGTTTGTCCTGTATGTTGTGTTTGTGGACTTCCTTGGGGCTGGTATTATAGTTTCAACATTATTCTGGTAAATATAGTTTGTTATTCTTAATTTGAAAATTAGCTATTGTCCATGTAATTTGATAAAATCTCATTATATTTTGATAAATTTTGCATCCACAATGCTATATTGTAAAATATTCATAATGAAAATGGTGTAAAAAATCCACTTTGCCCCTAGGTACTCTAAGATGGGACTCGAACCTACGAGCTTTCGCCAACCGAGCTTGCTCTAACCACTGAACTATCCATGCAATTTGGATTTTTTACATATTTTTCATTGATAAAATGTTGTTAATATTTTTACAGTTATTGTTATTTCAAGTTTCTCAATCTACTTCCGACTCAAATTCCAACTATCATGCTACTTGTGCTCACTTTGCAAGACCTCAAATGGTGTCCTGCCCACTGGAACAATGTACAAAACCTCAACCACAGCCTAGCATGAGCGTTCTAACCGCCACGTGATAAATGATAAACTGTTACTGTGCCGTTCGAAGGTCTGCGGCATAAATAAAAGGCTCGATTAACTCTATCATATTTTGTCATTTATCGCGTGATATGCGTCGTTAATGTTATGCATTCTAAAAACCTTCCAGGCTAGAATTAATCCAGGGAAACCATAACCAATACCTAACCTGCTATACTTAGCACTTGAAAAACCTGTATCGGATCACTATATAAATTAGTTATTATACTTCTAGGTATGTAAGTAACAAATACTTACGGCGGGATCGCGACGGCCCGGACGTGGAGTGGGGGTATGCATTTGACGTTCACATCAACGCATTCTTCCCACCACTTTCATTGCTGCATTGTTTCCAGATCGTCCTCTTCAACAGTCAGTATGATATAGCATGTTTTTGAATAAGCCTTGTTTTGAACGGCGTAAAGGCTATTTTACTTTTACTAAGCTAAAAATTGTAAAATATATTTTTTTGTATGCGGTGACTTACTGTCGCCAAAAACAGAATAAATCGGTAAGAAACAATAGTCTGCTATGCCTGTACAATACCCATCTAGGCAAATAATTGTTTGTATTAAATAGAAAGAGTTGTCTTTTTCTACAAGTATCACCATTTCGTCACTGACTAAAACCAGTGATTCATGCACGTACTACTAGTTATTCAATACAAAGTTCCTGTTGTAATCATGGTAATAGGTTCAATGAATAATCACAATGAACTGTAAGGTTTCTACAGTTCATTGTGATTATTCATTGAACTGTGCGTGCAATTAAAACGTGGATATGCCGCCATTTGTGAAGCTTAGGTATACGTTACGAGTTCAACTGTCATAATTTCGATCTTATTTTACGCGCAGTAAAGTCTATTGAATTGATCATTTATTTAAGAATTCCTATGAAATTCGAGTAAATTTCACACAGAGATCATGATATACACCTTTGCTTTATACAGGAATAATTTAAAACCACTGTGAAGATTTTGTGAAAATAAACTTTAAGTAATTTAAATAAACACGTATTTTTTATTTTGATATGTTCTAATACTAAAAAATAAAGTTATCGCTTATCAAAGATCGAGATTTTAAAACTTAATTTATGGACACCGCGCGCCGTGCGTCAGCTGAGCGCTCGCTCGACGCCGTAGGCATGTACAAATGAGCGTTCAGTGACCCGTGTAGATAGGTACCTACACCTTTCTACACGGGTCACTGAAGGCTCATTTTGTTAGATTCGAACTAGATTTTATGCCATGATCTGAAGTGATTTCTAAGAGTAATTCCAATTTTCCCTTCATACTTTTATGGTTAAGACCATCAAAATGCAAAAAAATATAAGAGAAACAAATTCGTTACCTAGAAAAAAATATTAACGTTATGCCGAAGTTACATAGGTACTTATGCGTTAAGGCGTATTTAAAAAAAATAGAATCAACTATGACTTTACAATAATGTTGAATCAAAACAAATACCTAACTAATTACTTACCATGTATTTTAATATTTGTTCAAAATGAAGTCCACGTCTGTCCAGACTTAAACGTGCACATTTCATTAAATTGTCATTTCATTTGTTTAAAACACTAGTGTCACTTTTCACTTCACTGAAAGCGTTATTATTTTTTATTGTTAAGTCTTCTAGACTTTGTGCCTCCTCTACATTCCCATAAGAAACAGTCCCTCACTTGTGAACAATGCCTCATCCGTCTACAAGATGTTTGCATCGCGGTGATGTAGAAGCCACTCACATAAGGCTCGACGTGGTACTGGGTCTAGGTCATGGAACTGCTGAACCGGCTGAAAGTGGTACGGATGGAGTCCGGCTGTTTTTACCAGCTTCAATACCGCAGGCTGGCTCACACCAAAGAGATATGCCGCATCGTGGGTACTGACTCTGGGACTTCGTCTGTTGAAATAGTTCGAAGCATTAGGGACCGCGGGGTTACGGATCCCAAAGGCCCGCATACGAGGTATGCTCTTCGTCGCATACTTTCTCCGAATTGCGCTTATGTAGGTTCTCACCACTCAGAAGATAAACTCGTACCATCTCGTAAAACTCACGACGGCGGGCGCGTCGCGTGCGCGGGAACGCGAGGACACGTCACATCGGCGCGTGCGTATGAGTCTCACTGTCGCGCGCGTCGCTCGGTCCCGGCGGGGCGGTGGGGGCTGTGGCGCGGGGCTACCGGGCGCGGCGGGGTTGCACGGTGGCATACGCAAGAGAAGACGTTTTCATTGAAGTTTTATTTTAAAAAATGTGTCCATATTCTACCGTTTCGATAGGGATAAAAATATTTAAAAAAAAAAATTTAACTAATTATGGAAAAGTGTTCTATTACTGATACTGAACCACCAAAAAAAATTTTTGCACTGGAAAAAAAATATTCCTGTATAAAGAATTTTTATTATTGTTATGCTATTTGTCTATATATTTACCAAAACTACAAGGAATATTCAGAAACAATATAAACCTAAAATTTTCTTTCCAGATCTGGTGAATGATGAGAGTTTTGTCGCTTGTTTGGTATCCAACACGTTTTGGTTGGCCTCCATTATATACTATATGTACATTACTTTCCTTGGTTACAGCAGTAAGTACTTATTTTAATACATTCAATGACATTTATGGTCAATACACACCTAAATGGCACAGTTCCAACCTAGCAATTAACTTTAAATTTTGAACACTAAATCGTATGTCATAGAGTACATGTTATAATGTTAAAATAAAAACTTGAGGTTGGCAACTGCCATTGGCTAATTAGGAAATATATTGATATCCGTACGATTTAACACTCAGAAAATAGTAAATAACCAGGTTGGAGCTGTGCCGTGTAAGTGATATGAATTTAAACACACGCGCAATGGTGAATTCTCGTCATCGTGACTTTGTCTTTGTCACCATGTTGTTATCATTTATATGATAGTGAAGACGGTTGTCATTATCGAATATAGATTTCAAAATAACACTCCCTAGGGGCAACGAGTTACAATTTTTTTAATGTACTTAAAATTGAGTAACATCTTACTAAACTCTTACTTGAGATTCGCTATTCGACAATCATGTAACATATTGTATGAAGCCGTTAACTTTCAGATTATGGCAAATTAGTTGACAATGGTGAGTGCCAAAAAAATAAGTCGTTTTGATTTCTAATGACAAGAATGTGCAGATATTGTAATTGAGTTTAATGAACTAGCCATGTTTGCGAGTATCGTTTTGTTTTTTTTTTTCTTTCTAACCTTTTGTCATAAAAAAACTCTATTTCATAACTCTCCAGTTGACTGGTAGAGAATGCCTATAGGCGTTATGTTCGCCAATTGTTCGCTTTTATTGTGCAATGAAGTTAAAATAAATAAAAGTTTTAACGACTATTCGGCGGCTGAAAGATTCTGATACATTTGCCTTAGTCCACGTTTGGAAACGCGTGCTACTGTCACAATTATTTTCATTGGTGTTCCAATTTAACTTTTTTTTTACAATAAAATAATAGGCCTTATTATTAATTTATATTGATTATTTGTAGAGAAGGAACATATTTCGACCAATTAATTCGATCCCAAAGTTTTATGTGTTTAATAATCTTACTATAAGTGACGAACATGTTCCTTAATGTGCAATAGATTAAGTTTGATTTCAAAATTTTTAAATAACTTTTTGGTTTAAACAAAACTTATTTTCCATTGGCAAGCACACATTTTTTTCTCTTGCCACTTAACCACCAAATTGTCTTGATCTTCAATTGTTTATCTTTTCAGATCTACCCATGCTCCGGAATATCAGAGTGTTTTTGCTGCCACTGCCAGTACTAGTTATTTTATATTTCGGCACTTTACTGGTGAAATGGAACCTTAGTAATATACTCGTGTCATTCTATGTGTACAGAGTTTTATAATAGATCAATATAAATAATAAGTATAATATACAGGCAGGAATTGATACAAAAAATAAAACTAGCAGTTTTAATAAACGTTAAACCTTCAAGTCATGAGTAAATTTATACCCAATCACAAATCAAGCAAACATGCTACTTTCTAGAATTAACTTTTAATCTCGTATTAATTTCTTTTTTACCAGGTTTTAAAACTTAATTCTTAAAATTACAAGATTTAAGATCAAAATCCATGTATGTACACTTGGCTGCACGTTAGGTTACCACTATTACTAGATACAGATCACTACCCTCAATTGTATTAAGGTTTAAAATCGAATGGGGGTTTTGACAGTTTTGTATAACCTGACCTGCTGTTGACTGTATAACATTATATTTCATATTTATATTGCCCAACTCACGGATCTACAAACTATACAAATTAGATTCTACCAAATCAATAGATTTGCCAATTCCTTAACATTTCAATATAGGTATATCAATAATTTCCATGTCCCAACCAGTTTAATAATTCTGCTATAACATAAGTGCCAGCCGAAGGATTGTATGATTGTATTATTTCAATAATTTATGAAAATCATAATGTAATTGAATTATAAAATATAACAATGATAACTTATAACTGTAATTTTAATTGTAAAATTTAGTTATAAATTGTAAATACAAAGTTAGATCACTTATCTATCTATTTTTTATAATAAAGGTGTATGTAAATAAAATTATTTTTAATTTATCAAATATATTGGCAGTCTCGAATAACAGTGCATTAAGTTTATAAATATCACTGATACAATGTTTTAATCTAATCGTCGTCGTCAAGGACAATGACCTCATCGCTAGATATCTGTTTGGGCCGAACTTCGTTGAAGGGCTTCCTGGCTTCAGGTTTCTTACTTTGAACAGACTGTTTCGATACTGATGTTTTAGTTATTGTCAAAGAAGATGGAAGCTTACTAATAGACGCATTTATGTCTTGTGATGAATTCGGCTTCGATGTTGGCATGTGTTTCTGTCGTTCGGCCAATTTTTCCTGCAAAGTTTTACCAGGACTAACTTGCTGATGGGGCATAGGAGGTTTAGTATGGATAGCAGCACTCACAGTCGAGGCCGTGGATAAGTGCGCCTGTGTCGGCACAGTACTATGCTTACTCGTTACTGATAGACCTGACGAATGATTTGTAGAGCCAAACGAAGTTAAGTTCGCGGTCATCGAGGCAGGCAATGTTGGCAACACTGTTCCCATGCTGGGTGCGAGAGGAGCGGATGCAGATTTCTGAATACTGGTAATAACAGAGGTGGGCGTTGCTTTCGAAACTGAAGCATTCGAAGTGGTGCTAAAAGACTTAGTCACTTTCATTGTAGCTACGGGTTGCTGTAAAGATCTTGAAGATTGAGGCTTTGGACCACGTTTTTGCTTTTTTTGGGGAGGCATTCCGTAGGACGAGAGACTTTGACCCAAAAATTGACGATAAAATTCTGCTTGAAAAGAATTTTGGAGGCTAGTTTGTAATGAATTTTGCAACGATGTATAGCCAGCCAATGCACTAATATTGCTCAAATAGGAAAGTGACAACGCCGCAGCAGTCTGCTGTGATATAACCGGGTCATTTAGCATAGGAATATAGTTTTGGAACGCAGCGGCCATATCGTGGGCGGATATCTTCGGCAACCCTGTGGTTGAAGTAGAGGTCTTATGATCTGTATTTTTCTGCACATTAGGAGCAGAAAGGGTTTCACGAGGTTTCACAGTTTCCGAAGATTTCGCAGCTTGTTTTTTCTGAGCATTTTGATTCTTATCTATACTGGCTTGAGTGGCTTGTTGTTTAAGAGCTTGTATCATTGACTGGCAGTATTTCATACTGAGATCTACAAGGTTCGTACTATCTGTTATTGGAGTAGTACATACTAATTTATAAGCTTCGACTAGCAAATTAGTAAACTGTTTGGAATTCGGTTGTTTTTGTGCTCTTTGATAAGCCCTGTAAATATCCAGAGTTAAACTTTTTAATGCTTGTTTTTCTACTTCATTGCTTTTAAGATCAGCCTGTTGGCTAAATTTAGTTAATTGACCTTTTAATGATTGCACGCAAAGTGAAAATGCCTGTTGCGCTAACTCTTCCCTGTCAGAGTCTCGTAGATACTTCTTATCAAGTTCTGGAATTCTTTGTAAATGTAAACTCAAATCAAGCAATGTTTTGTGATCGTCAATTTCCTTTAATATTTCCATGGTTAGCTGAACTGATCGGCTCATGTGGAACGCAAAACCCCCTGCTCTTTCTACTTCTCCTAATGGTATCTTCCAGATATTATTAAAGAAGTTAGAATGTTTTCTTTCACTGAACAAACCCCCTAATTTTTGCCCTGTTCTTAGAGTAAAATTAGAGAGCATTAAATCTCTACATTTCTCGATGTCTTTACCCTTTTTATAATAAAAATGGTAATGAGCCAATCTATAGATAGCTTTGTAATGTGGTGGAAAACGACTAGCACAATCCTCTAAAGCGTCTAGACATGTTGTAATGATCTTCATAATTTCGTCATCAGTTAATAATTTAGAGTCATTTGAAGATTTACTAGATGTACCACTATCTCTGCTAGAGGAACTACTGCTATCGGAAGTAGAATCACTTGAACTTGATTCAGAAGATGAAGAAGAAGAAGAAGACGTGCTACTTGAACTTTCTGCTTGCTTCTCTAAATCACTATCCTTTTTTTGTTCTAGTTGTTCCTGACTAATTTCTACTTTTTCGTCTATTGGTCTTATATCTACAGGTTTTTCTGTTACTTCATTTGTTTTAGTGACTGTTTCTTCTTCGACTTCTTTTATACTAGACATTTCCGCGGTTTTAGATGATTCTGCAGTCTTTTCTATGTTTGTAATCACAGTCGATTCTTTCTGTGCAACTCGCTCCGTATCATAAGAAGCTGATCTTCTAACTTTGGCAGCTGCAGCTTCTAATTTCAAACGTTTCACTTCTTGAGTTTCTTCTTCACCAACATCACTTATGGAACGCTTTAATATATTTGCAGCATGTATTGCCTCGACAGGTTTTACCTCGGTCTCGTTCTCATTTGTACCATCCTTTTTAGGTTTTTTTGAAAAAGGACCATTTTTCCAGTCTTCAATGCAAGTCATGAACACTTTTCCTACAGTGGCAGGAATCGGTTTATTTTCATGTTGTTCTATATATTTTAATATCGATGCATGTATCCTATAATGTAGTTCTAAGACTTCTATACACAAATGAGTAGGTGAACTATAATTTATTTTTAATGGGTATGTTGCGTCAGTTTCTTGTAAGCTCTTGACGCCTCGCATATAATAGTCTAGATAAACAGATGGAGGTTTTTTCTTTTTTTCGGCAACCTTCCCTAACATGTAATAATGTAACCAAGAGTCTTCGTTAGCTTTCTCAGTATCGGCGCTACTATTAAGATCTTCTAAAACAGTTAAGAAACATTTCTGTGTAGTATTTAACATATTTTCTTTTTGTTTCTCTAAAGATTCAAAATCTTCCATGCTTAGAGATTCGCTATCTTGTTTGAGTAGTCTTGAACAGAATGAATGCACTGTGTATACAAATATACCATATTCAATCCACATATTACAGTGTGTAGGATCTAAGTCAAGTGCACGTTTGAAACATCTTATAATAGACCTAGCAGGGTTTAGAAACTCCCTTTCGTTATTAATGTTCTTACAAGAATTAAGAATTCTTTCTAAATTTACAGCTTTTGCCAGGGATATTTCCGCCCAGGATTCTAAACGGTCATTGTTCACAACCACATCCAACATATTATATTTCACAGCCATCTTGCCTTCTTCTTTTTTGAAATAATAATCACCAAGCAAAAAATAGATATCTTTCATTTTATATGGCATGAGTTTTGGAATTTCTGGCAATTTATCCTCTACACCTTTTATGTATTTTTCTATCTCTACTACATACTTTTGTGGATCACATTCTGGCGGCAAATGTGCAAGAATACGATGGAATAACTGTTCAGTATCAGCAGTAATTCCAGAGACCTTGCCTTCCAAAACTGGCAACACAGGTGGTCTAAAAATTTCGTAAACTTGTTGCGCCCTTTTCCAATCTAAGGATTGAGGAGTTACATTGTGATCAATCAAATATTTTAACTTGTTCTTTTTACCTGGATGGCCAAACAGACAGTATACACACTGTTCCATAAACTGCGAGACCTGTTCTAAAGATTTCACCAATGCCGGCGTACGTAATCTCGGAACTACTGTATCTAATATAAAATACAAAAGTTTTCCGTCAGAGTTACAGCACCAACCTCTATTTCCCAAATGCTCATGGGCAATAAACAATACCATCAATGGATAAGGAACTTCATCCTCTAAATTCTTTTCTTTGTCATTATTAGTTCTACCCCTCCCTTGATCTTCTTCTCTCTGTAAGATATAATGCATAATAATCCATGGAATAATTGTCCCAAAGGGTATCTCAGTTGCATTAGTTTCTACTTGATGTCCTATAATTCTAATCAGATCTTCTAAGCCCTGACTAAGCTCTTTTTGAGATATTGTATCTAGACATGATAGCCCTTCAGTAGCAAGTATGTGTTCCATACAACAAAGTACTTTTACAACAGTCAAACTCCACTTATCATAATCAGGAGATCCACTAGTATACCTAAAAAAGTGCTTTAAAGCCTCATGTAGACATACCAGAGACCATTTGAAGCAACTATCCACTTTATCCAATGCCCAATATGTATCCAATATTACAGACAACTGAACAGCAAAGTCAAGTGACATGTCCTCCTCTTGATTCCTAGCCATATTCTTGCAATGTTCAAATGAATCTATTACAATAGACAGAACTTCTTCATAATCACCTCTATCATATAACTCCATTACAGTTGATAATTTTTTATTACGCTCTAAAAATTTGATAGCTGATAATACTTCATTTTCATTTATAAGTGGTTTAAAGGTGAAATTTACAACATTCAAATTGTATGCCTCATGGTCTTCACCCATTATTTCAAATTCATATGACAACTGATATAAGCAGTCAAGACCAAATTCTTCACATTTGTTCAATAAATTAATATGAAACTTAACCCAAAGATGCCTCAACATTAATTCTAAGCAATTTATGCCTGTAAATAAATGTGGTTTTAAATTAAGAGTAATTCCTATTGCTTCAATGATATTTATGTTGTGGTAAATATTTCCATCATCAATGTTGTGCAATTTTTCATTTACTGTAAACTCTTCAGCTAGTATATTGACATTGACATAATGTAGAAGTTCAAGTTGATTGTCATCAGTATAGGCTGGTATATCAATATGAGTATTATAACATTCATTAGCTTTAACAAATATTTTACTCAAACCATTTGGCCACAATATTCTCCACTTATCTGCTAAAATATGTAAAAACTCCTTTAACATATCAATGATATCTCTTTTGGGCTCTGCATATTTGTTTATAAATTCTTTAACATCTCTTTGCTCATTTTCTGTACCAAAGTAATGCTCAAACTTTTCAACATTTCCTTTCTCTTCAAATAACTTATCAAGGTCTGTTGTATCAGGAGATGTTTCCCTAGCCTGGTTTTCATTCTTCTGTACTAATACTGGAGACAAATATGCAGGAACCATTCTCCTCAATGTATCATAGATATTATCATCCTGCTCTTGTCGATTTGAAGCCTTTTTTCGTCCAGATCTTCGCTTAGTACACCACTCCCACTGTTCTAAGAAGCTAAGAGCACTGCCACGTCTACGAACTGGATTTTTTCTTTGTATTTTGGGCTCCGGCTGAGCATCTGTCACTGTTTCAGCTTGCATCATCTCTATATCACTTTCTACTTTTTCAGTATCTGTTGCTCCCTTGTCTTTATCAGATAAATCATTATTTTCATTTTCAGATACATTTTCTTTATCTACTCTTTGTTCATTAGTTTCAGATTTTTCATTTTCATCTGATTTAGTATTTTCTTGAAGTTCTATTTCTTTAGGCTCATCATCCACTTCCATTTGTTCATGCTTTTGTTCTTTTTCAAATATTAATTCCAAGTAACAGGCATGACTGAAACAATTTTCTGTCATATATTGATGCATATGAATAAGAGATTCACCCACTGCTGCCCAAGCTAAATCAGATATAGGTTTTTTTAATTTTAAATTAGGCAACAAATATTTAAATTGATCTTGTCTTTGCTTTTCCAAAAATATTTCATGAATTTCTTCAGCTTCTTTAATTAATATTTCAGCTTTTTCTTCATTTATAGCTTCTTCCTCATTTTCATTCCACTTATAAATTGGGTTCAAATACTCCATGTAATCCCTAATGTAGGGATAAATTTTGTAAATATGTTTTCTATATACCAATCCCCTTAAATAGTCAGGATCGAGTTGTAGTGTGTCATGTATTGTGGCAATACACTCTTCTTTGTAGTCTAGACCCATTAGTAAAGTAACTATTTTGTCAAGGCATGGCCAATGTTTCGGGTTCCTGTCTACACCACGCTGGAAAGCGTGTAGAGCCATATCGTAACGTTTTACACTCATACAAGTGAGACCTAATCTGTGCCACAAAGTGACATCTGTATCATCAAGCTCTGAAGCTGCACAAAAAGCCTCAATGGCGCCTTCATTATCGCCGGCAGCGCTCAACATCGCAGCAAGATTTTTGAAACACAAGTATTTCAATTTAAGCAGGGGGTCCGAAACTTTCTCTCCTTGCACGGGTTTTTTTACATCGTACAAAACTTCTGTGTCTAATAAATCTTTCAAAAGCTGCGTCGCATCCTTTAAGTTTCCTTTTCGTTGAAGATCTAACGCTTTTGCATACTGTTGTAAAGCTATTTGTTCTAGTGCCTCTTTTGTCACTTCTTCATCGGACCCGGAGTCTTCTTCAGATTCATCGTTCAGTGCAGATATTTTGATCATTCTCCTGCAGTTCTTACAATTTGTCACAAAAAGTAAATACGAATTGAACTACTAGCTCTAATAACTTTAAATAAATAATTTCTATTTTATCGACCGGTAATAAACCCAAACAAATCCTCTTTGCAAAATATTTGACAATAGATGGCAACCATTTGACAGAACAGTTAGGATTAGGGATGAACGATATATCAGAAAATCGATATATATATGCCCAAAAAATAAATTTTGATATCGAAAATATCGAGAAAACCAACATATCGGAACCTAATTTCAAATGAAATTATAAAAGTAAATGGTTAACTGTTGTCCAAATTAATATCCAACGGCATTTTCATATGTGAAATAAGGAAGCATTAAAAAAAAAAATTTGTTCCCGAAATCAAACAAGATGTCGCTACGGTACGTTCTTGATTTCCCTATGACAACCCTTCCGGTTTCGACATATCAAATCCTAATTTTGAAATGAAATTATAAGAGTAAATAGTATCTGATGTCCAAATTAACATCAAACGACATTTTCATATGTGTTTGACGTTAATTTGGACTAGTGAACTGAACTAGTCGATACCGCGATCCTCTCGATACCTTGATTTTCAAGTATCGAATATAAATATCGAGTATTGAGTGTAAAGTATCGATACTTCATAAATATCGAAAGTATCGTCCGATCCCTAAATGATACTCTACAATAATACCTGTGAATAATACTACTGCATACATATCTACTAAGTCTGTGTATTACTAGAAGTCAGCTGTTTTTGTGTGAAAATAAAAGTTCTTCCTTTTCCAAATGAAATATTTAAATAATAAAAATAATTTATTTGTAAAACTTGGATAAATGTAACGTTAAAAGTACATAAGTGGTAAAATTATAAGTTAAATAAAATATTGTAAGCTATTTAAAAGTAGTGCTTTTATCTTATACGAAGAGTTTATTTAAAATATTAATTAACTTTTGATGTGGTAGTAAAATGTCTAATCCAGCGGACAATATTACAAAAAGTAATGGCTTAGGATCCGATCCTATGCAGAGACTAGCTTCATTTAGAACCCCCCGGGATCTCTCTTTAGGCGGTGTAAAACCAAACAAAAAGGTATTTATACCTAATTTAAACGTGACTAGAAACAAAAATAAAGGGTAAGTTAGACGAATTTATATTTTTTTTTGTTTTATGAAAAATCTAATCTAAACTTGTGTAATGTATCATTATGATGAAAACAATTTTATGACAATCATTGTTCTTTCCAGACCTGCAAACCTAAGTTCTCGTGATCACAAGAAGGATGACAAAGGTCGTAAAGATCGCAAAAATGACAGAAATAAAAATTTCAACAGAAATGGCCCAAATGTTATAAAATCAACTGGGGTATTTTCTGAAGGTAAACTTAATAAAATACTATATAACTTTGGAATGGACCTTGAAAGCTTTAGTGAAAAGCCACCAATTTTATTAAGTTCTCAATTATAATTTGTGTTTCTTTAAGTATTGTATATATTTATAAAAGCATCATCTACATTGCTGAAATATGGTTATCATGTGACAATTTCTTATGATTTATGGATAAGACACAACAACTAATAACAAACCATGGTCAATTCTATAAACAACTGATAAATGCTAAAGTATAAGTATTTTGAATATTACCACCAATGTAGTGTATATATTTTTTATATTGATACTGGGAAGCAAACACATAGCAACCTGCAAAACCAAAATTGATTGTCAGAGTAGCATAACTTGTTGTTTTTGTTTATTGTAAAAATAAAAAGTTACTTTGCTCTGAAGACCAATTTTATCTTTACTGCTATGCTCTTCTATTTCTGTCAAAAGACATTTTTGCCAATGAATCTTTACATTGTATCTGTTTGACATGTAGTAGATACATAACCAAATTCATCCCAACCCAATTAACTATACCGGTAGTACCTTTCGATTAAGTGATTAAGGAACAAAGTTATCATACACAGTGATTTTCTTGAATGTGATCAAAACCCATTTAGAAGTTGATATATTGAACAGCAATTTATATTAAACTGAAATTTAATTTATTCAAATAAATTTTATAGGTCTGGCCAGTTCTGAACGGCATACAAGTAGATTTTCTTATGGAAGAGATTCAGACAGTGGTGGCACTCCAGCTTTACAAAAGCCGACCCTAAGGGTCAAAGATGTGATAAAGGTAAATATTTTCTAAATATTGGGTAAATAGATTCCATCCACACCCAGTTAGTATCTATTGACCATTTGCAAATAGATGCACATAAGTAGCAAGTAAAGTCACTACATCCTGCTTATTAATTTTATCTAGGATCTTGGGAATTGTTGGTCCTTGTAGTACTGACTCAACCTGACCAACTCACTCATAACTAAGAAGGATTTTGTATTGTCTTTATAGATTGACAAAGAGTTAGAAGAAGAGAAGATCAAAGCTGCAGTAGGAGATTGCTCTTTATTAGATGACGGTCCACAAGAAAATATCAAATATATCAATGAGAAAGATGCACCTGTTAAGCTTCCAATGGGTGATGGAGGTACGATTTTAAATGTCTTAAGTTATTTTATAACAAATTATTACTAACCCTTTTTTAATCCAAATATGCAAAACTAAAAAATATGTACTTCTGATACAATAGTGATTTTAGCCTCACTAATACACAGAAGTAATTTTGATATCCTTTTTGGTAAATATTCCAGTATTTTATTTTTTCATATAATCATATGGATTACTGAACCATAATTTGATCATATGAGTTTTACCTGTTAGAAGTTAATTACAACACAATATTTCTTATAGGATGGTCAATTAAGAAAGGAAAGCCTACGGTGGTTGTTAAGCAGGAGGTGAAAGTGAAAAATGAACCGAAAGATGGTGTAAATTGTAACAGTAAGATAGTTTTATTTTAAGCTCTCCGAAGGCAGTTCCAAGCAGCCGGCCGGATTGTTCCGTTTGGGCGCTGGGAGCGGCTAGATTAGCTTACATTGTTAAGGGTTTCAATACATCAAATGTGTATTTGAAATTTTACCTTATGTTAAATATTTTAAAAGCTTATGCTCCCAAGTTAGTAAAATGTTTTTCTTTGAAATAATATTGAAATTGAAACTCATTGACTTTGGCATTAGAGTGCGAGTAATAGGCTTTAAAACTAAACTAAACTACTTTAACCTATAGATGCTGTTACACAGATAATAATTATAGCTAATCAACGTTAAATAATGATAACTTTTTCACATGCATGATATACCTATATCTAAAAAAATATTTAAAAAAGTATCAATCATATAATAATATAATATAAATTAGAGTTTCATACACTTTAACAATTTGTTAGTAAAACAAAGACATAATAATTGACTTCCCTTGATTCTATTAAATACTTCCGTTTTAAGAATACTATTTAATTACTTAGGTTTATAACGATAAATTAAACATTTTAGGGTTCCTATAATAAAAACAATACCCTATTACTAAGACTGCTGTTCGACTGTCTGTCATTAGGCTGAATCTCATGAGCCTTGATAGCAGTTGTAATTTTTACAGATGATGTATTTCCTTTGCCACTATTTGCACAAATACTAAAAATAAATATTTAAGGAGGACTCATAAATCGTGAATTTTATGCGTTTTTACGGAACTCCTTGTGCAAGAATAGCCGGTTTTTATTATATTTTTAAATTGTGATAGGATGGAGAAAACCAAAAACTGTAACAGACCCATCATCTTCATAGGTGCCAGACTAGTTCTAAGTATAGGAACTATGTAATTCGGTATTCGGAACCAACCGTTCCAGTAAGGTACTTCGGCTCTAAGGCTAAGCTCTGTGCTGTAATGCACTGAGACCTGGTGCTTACTGCTTGTAAGGTGGTTCCCGAATTCACCCCCTGTACTCCTAGTATATTACTTTCTCAAACAAAACCCAGCTGTCATATTATCTCATCGTTTTTTGTCTTCACCATCGACGAAGACAATCCTTTTACTGAAATATCGTCAGGTCATGCAGCAAAACAGACATTAAATATAGTTTTTAATTCGGCATAGTACTACCATTTTTATAACAATCATCGCCAAAATTTGTTGTACTAATGTAAGCTAAAGTAGAATCACCAAACGTTCTGTTTTCCCAGGACATGTCCTGGGTTTTAATGGCGCCTTAATAAAGTAATGAATTTTTAAACGGCGGATCTAGTTTATTTTGGTCGGTTGAAATTATTATCGAATTTTAAATTGAATTGTCATAGATTTCCAACTTTATATCCTATTTTAAGACGTCAAATACTTTAGTAATAAATAAATATTAGAACGCATAGTTATTACTCAGATACCAAGATAAGCATCTTGTATTATGAAGTATCTTAAAATAACGAGGTACCACAACACCCAAACCCGAATATAATGAACTACAACATTCGACCAGAAATTGAACCTGACATTTTGAAATCTACGTGCGAGCCACTCGACTCGTAATACTACTCATGATTGTCTCGACGTGGACATGAATATTAATAAAGTAAAACTACTGCACAGGTACAGTCGGATTATACTAACCGTCAAATTTCCCAACACGAATTAAACCTTATTGCATTGAGATAAGTGGTCAAAATCCATTGCAATTTGACATACAGCCGTGTGTCTCGTATAAATATGGCTCTACATAGGATCTATGACCAAATGTCACTAACAATAGGCTTGTGTCCTACAAGTGAAAATACAGGTTTTTGTTATAACCTCGAAAAATATGAATCATTTTTACCCGACTGCGCGACGCAAAGAAGGGTAATGTGTTTATCAGTCTATGTATGTATGTTTGTATCTATGTGGCGTTCTAGAGACCAAATGCGTAGGCCGATTTTGATGATTCTTACGTCAATCGATTCGTCTTAACCTTGCGAGTGTCACTAAAGACTTGACAGTAATCAAAATTCACCACAGCGACAACCAGATGCCATATTGTCTAAATGAAAAAAATAAAAATCGATGAACTTTGTCAAGTGAGGTGTCGTTGAATGGGTATTTTAAAATCATCTTTAGGTTCCTTTTATCATTTTTCATTTTAAATAATAGTTTAGGATATATAACGATTTAAAGTTGTCTAACAAAACATTCTCACTAATTTTCTTACTTATTGATTAAAGTTTTTATTTAAAGTATAAACGACATACAAACAAAAAAAACAGTGAAAAAGCATGAAAAACAAATATTTTTACTTAATAATCCCCACGATTTTAGCTCCCCCAATGAAATAACTTGATTGCGAAATTTACCATCTTATAACGAAGTCAACGAATCGTAACGAAAAAGTATAAAATAAAAATAAATACTTTAAAGAAAAAAAAATCCCGACTGCGTAAAAACGAATTTAAAAAAAACACATGAAAGAATAAAGAATTAAGAAGTTTTTATTTCAGTTAATTCTTTCATGTGTTTGTTTAAAATTCGTTTTTACGCAGTCGGGATTTTTGTTTTTCTTTTAATTATTTATTTTAACTTATAAATGTTTAACAAAACAAATTTTAAGTCACTGATTGGAAAATATTACGCTTTGAAAACTTGAAAAAAGTAGATAAAATCTACTACAAAAATTTGCTTAAATACATAAGGCATTAAATTAGATATAAAAAAATGTTACAACTTTCATTATAACAGCTATAAACATAAACGCACAAATAACAAAGATATTACAAAAAATGTCTAGACGCCCATAATTTTTTCGGTACTGTAGCACCGTGTAACGTCACTGAGTGCCTTGAATTTGTAGATAGCGTTTTCGGCCAACTAGCAGCAGTTCTACAAACACAGCACCATATCTCCGAAACTATTAATCGCAGACATGCTGTTACTTCGACATTATTTCTCGGATGTTAATGGACTATTTATTTATGAAATAAAAAAAAGTTGTCACATAAATGTGCATGCCATAATCGGTATTTTACATGTATTACCAAACAGTCTGAATATGTATATATGTTGTAACAGCTTGGGGCTTCATTGAATTAAAGAAATTACTGCCATCCTAATAATAATACCTTTTTTATCTTTCTGTAGTAAAGATCGAGCATAAACCACAAGTGGATGTGAAAAAAGAAGTCTATGAAGATACAGATGTTGTTGACATTCTGGGAACAGACAAACCTTCACTAATATTATTACAGGTATATGCATATGTATAGTGGTGGTATACATCTGAACGGAACGGTTCTAAAAAAAAATCTATTATATTCTATTTAGATAATAGGCATTAAAATTGAGGAGTGTGACGTCGTGTGAAATTCCACTCAATGTATTACCGTAATTTTGCATAATCAGCAAAAAAGTGTATTTAAAATAATTTATCCGGCGGGCAGACAAAATATGTTGTGATCATCCTTTAAATTTGACTATTAAAACTTATATCATAGAATATACTTCAATACGTCAATATAAAAAAAAGAAATTGACGGCTGACATTACCTTTTTTAATTTTGAGTAAATCGCCGGTTTGGTTCCGTGCCGTAAATGAATTGAAAGTTTGGAAAACGTATATGTTATTGCTTATATTTCCTTGCAGACTATTCATCTAATACAGTATTCCTTAACCGATGGTGGTTCCTGGAAACAATCCAAGTGGACCACATGCAGAGGCTTAAAACATTTATTACTCTATAAACATAATCAATTATCGATGTCGCTGTCTGCTGTCTGTACGCTGAGATCTTTTAAAATACAAAACGGATTTAACATAAAACGTATAGGCAATAATTAAATAAATAAGCATTCCCTGGACCGGGGTAAGGCAAAATACAAAATGGTCCCTAATAACTAAAAGGTTGAGAATCACTGATCTAATGTATTAACCTTTCCTGAAGGTACTAGTACATAGTAATACATGCTTTATTATTATAGTTACCAGATTCTCTACCCGGACGAGGTGGCAGCGTGGACGATGAACCTAAGCGGAAACATAACGAACAACCCTCCACATCCGTCGGGGAGACGCGCGACGAGAAACCTGAAAACGTAATGTTGTTATTAATTCGTACAAATTAACATGACACCAGAATTTTATTTAACCTCAATCGAAAATACCATCGGTTTCCAATCATTCTTATAATATTGAAAAATAATGAAATCAAAAGTCATTGACACGACCAAAGACTCAGTTTCGGCCGAAACCGAAACCGGAACTTCCTTACAAGGATCATATTTTGAACGAAAAATTAAGAAAAGTTTTAAGTCGAAAAACAGAAACAGAAATGAAATATAAATTTTAATATACGGGTATCTAGGAGGTACCTATGTAAGTTTTCAATTAATTACTTATGTGTTAAAATAATGTTACAAAACAAAATTGGTAATACGCAAGTTAATATGTATCTAGTGTACTTGCCATTTGGATACCTTGGTAATAAATACTTAAATGAACTTTGAAACTCTGAATCCATAATATTATCACCATAAAATGCGCTACAGTCATTACTAACTACCTCGCTAACGACTCGCGCAAACATGCAACTTTTTTGCACGCAGTACTTTGCAGAAACTTATTTTTGCCAGGTGTCATGTTAACTTGAAAAAGTAGCGTATCGTAATGAAATTGACGAAAGTCCTGGCATTTAAAACCGTTTTTAAAAACTTCTTCAAGGTTACGAAGCGGAATATGATAATTTATTTAAATTTTCCATATTTGTGTCAGATGGTCTGCATTCGGCCTGGCTGAGTCCTGAAAAACACAATACATAAAATTATTTATATTAAAATAGATTCTTAGTACTGCCTTTTTTTTTATTATTTTGGCGTTACCCTTATAGATTTTACCAGAGTTCAGCGTTCGGCTTAGAGTTATATTTAGGCTACTTATTATAACGGGTACAAATATCAATGGTCATTTACGTATTGTATCCAGGTGGACAACAAGTGTCGCTTAGCAGATCTAGAAGAAGGCAAGATTGGTAAACTGCAGATACATAGATCGGGCCGTGTGAGACTCGTACTAGGAGATACTGCGTTTGAGGTATTACTCTACTTTTAAATATTTACATCTAATTTTAATTTTGTGTTTGTAATTATAGCCCAACGTTTTTTTATAAGATTTCCGTATCCAAGAGGTAAAACGTCCCTGTCCCTGTCCGTCTGTCCGTGTGTCACCAGACTTTATCTTATGAACCGTGATAGACTTGAAATTTTCACAGATGGTGTATTTCTGTAGCCGCTAAAACAGCTGCTTAAAAAACAGAATAAAATGAATATTTAAAAGGGCTCTCATACAACAAAAGTTTTTGTGTTTTTTAACCTACTGACGTCAGTGATAAAAAAAATGCCCATTAAGCCCATGAGTCCTATAATCATATATTGTGGGTTGTATTCCAGGTTTGTTCTGGAACAAAAAGCGCGTTCCATCAGGAGGTGGTGTCTCTAGCGGTGGACGATGCATCTCGTTCCGCGAACCTCGTGGCGTTAGGAGCTTTGCAACACAAACTAAATCTTGTGCCCGACTGGGAAACTGCATTCACTGATATGGTTTTAGACGATATGATGACCTAGAAGCTTAATATTTATTATGTACCTAAATAAAGTTATTTTCTTTAACTTGTGACTTTTTTAATATTTAACAAGCAAGGGTTTAGGGATATTTCAATGATCAAAAGAGAGTAGGTAAATATTGCGAGTATCGTTTTACAGGTAAAAGCACCTACATTTTCCAGAATTTAATTACAATTATTGCAAGAAGAATTACGTTTCTACAACAATGTATACATATAATACCTACATCATAATTTTAAGAATCTATATTAAGAAATGCAAATAAAGCAAGTTACTTCTTTTCTCAATATACTTATAAAAAATAAATAAAATGGAGTACATGTTTCTAATATTAAAATAACTACTTTTCACTAAATACATTTGTATGTATACACGGTACATATACATTTTTTTTTTGTCTGTCTATCTGTCTGTTTGTTCCGGTTAATCTCTAAAACGTATTGACCGCTTTGCCAGGACTATCACTGGAATTTGACTTATGTAATAAGGGTTACTAATACTCAATGAATGCAATCAGTCGTCGATTTAAATTGCATTATCTAATACGATTGATTTATGAGATCCGTATATCAAACAACTTTTTCTAAATTCAATATACATATTTTCAATTATGAAGTGTCTGTTTAAGGTTTCGCGTGCATGTGTACAATTGGTAGCGAATTTGATCTGCGATCGTGTAGAAGAAACTATTTTTACGAAAGCCGGTAATCGGTTGGGTGATCTTTTTTATTTGACTGAGCGCATGTATGCGAGATAAAAGCGCTGAGGGATGTGGCCGGGTTTTGCTTTCTTCTCCTATGTGTACCATTAGTTAGTGCGTTTTATCTGCGATTGTAAAGATTAAGCGACGTTCGCAAAAGCCAGTAATGGGATGGGTAGTGCTAAAGCATATATTCTTAATCGATGATTCTAATTCATCCAACATTCCGGATTGGGTTCGCATATTACACACAGATATTCTTAATGTATAACCAATCTACCATGTCATACGTATTGGGCATGCGTGATCATTCTAAATCGCCTCACAAAAAAAATTACCACCGATCCGATTTACCGACCTTTGCGATCGTCGCATAACTTCCACAATCGCAGATCTAACGCGATAACCACTGCACCATCGGGATTTTCACTTCTTAATATAGGAGGGATATTGCCATTTGTTTTTGTCAAATTAAATATATTTTGATGATATGATAAGTACAGTTGCGCAAACTGTAATATCGTATCAAAAACAGTTCGAGCGTTCTACCGCCTTCGTACATTTGAAGCGATATCGCAGACCACGATTACGTACATGCAATTCGATGTTGAGGAGTTTTGTGACCGATATTGACAGATTGTGCAATCATGAGTAAACACTTGCGATTTCCCATACATTTATAAGGGTACTAGTGGACGCCCGCGACTTCGTCCGCGTGGAAGTCGGTATCCCGTGGGAGTGAGAAGTTTTCCCAGTAAAAAGTACCCTATGTGTTATTCTGATGTATAACCTATATTGCTGTAAAGTTTTATCCAAATCCGTCCAGTAGTTTTTTCGTGAAAGAGTAACAAACATCCATACATCCATACTTACAAACTTTCGCCTTTATAATATTAATAGGAATAGGATATAAGGGCGTACGATATTAAGTAAAGAACCTTAAGCTACTTTCCACCCACTTGAAGTCAGCACAGTTAGTTTAATATAATTCTAATTTACTACTTTTCAGCACTAATAATATGGTGACAGTGGGATCGTTTTAGAATGGATCAAGCTAAGAAAAAAAAATAAAGAATATATATTTCGAAAATATCGATGGAGAATATAGGACGAATATTTTTTATTGAATATTTATACCTATTATCATAAGTATTTCAAGTTCAGCACTTCTCAAATTTTACTTAAACGTCACTTAAACAGGTTTTCGTATCTCATTTTAGTTTTATTAATGCTCAGTTGATAGCAGTTTGTTTAAATGTGGACCTTTTTTCCTTGTGAAATGTAAAAAAAATAAGATAATGAAATTAATCACTTGAAATTTATAACGTCAGCGTTATAAATTTCAACTGATTATTTTCAAGTTTATAACGTTATACAACGGTTATGAAGCTACTTATTGTAATATCATTATACTCTAAGTGGCCTCTGAGCTGGCTATATAATCTGTCTCTTACATTAGTACCTACTTTGATTCATGGTACTCTAAAAAAACGGTGCATGAGGTTTCTTTCAGTAAGCTTGTTAGGTACCCAAATATCCAACCTTTTGTGTACCCAGCTTTTTTCAAATACGCTTAAACTGTTTTGTGGTCAATCCCCAGTTGTTCAGCTACGTCGTAATTATTAATATGCCGATCTCGCTCCACTTTTTCAAAAATGACATCTATTTTATCCGTAACATGCTTAAACTAAAATTGTTCTACCCTCATAGAAAAACAAGAAAACATAGGCCCATAAATGACACAATTTTATTTTTGTAACAAAATTTTAAAATGTATCAAATTTCTCATTAGATTGTACAATGTAAAGTCTAGGGGTTGCTTAAGTGTAACTGCATTATCACAATATAGTGAGGCCATCAGTGACTCATTAAATCCTTATTTAAAAAGCATTTTTGGATATCGTTAATTATTATTCTAAGCTAAATTCACTAATTTTGACAGTAAGAAAAACAAATTAAAATCACACATTTTCCTAATTTGAATTCAGTTATCTTCTTTAAAAGTTAAAATTGTTAATGATACCAAAACTAGCCAGACACAAATGATATAGCCAGAAAGATTTAATTACAAGTTTATGCATACCATATGTGAAGACTTTTTCCCCAACCAATCCAACCAATCTCAAATCAGGTGTTATTTTGTGGAAGTCCATTGCTATGACAGTAACTATGATTCTTAGTGGAAGTCAGTAGAAATTATAGTTTCATGGTTAAGTTATGTATTAAAATAGATTTTTCAACTTCTAAGCATCCAATAACCAAATTTTTCTTCTCACAAGGTTCTTGCAATTTATTTTGTATACATAAGTAAAGAAAAATAAGTGAAACAAAACAGTATCTTAAAACTAGTTATAAATCATTTATTAATAAAACGATTTTATACACTACTATTTGTCCTCTTTTCATCTTTGGGTAAACTTCCAGGAGTTTCTGTACCGACATATTTCTTGCCACGCAAGTCTATAGCATAGTTATAGTCTGTTGGGTTGGCAATAGCATATTCAATTGCTTCATCAAGATTTTCTGGTGTTATAAATGTTTCACTTAATTCCTGAAAAAAAAACAACTTGGATCAAAACTGAAACATTATTAATTATATTAGATACAATTGCATAATCTGACACCATATGCAAAAGCATGAAAAAATAATTTTATGGCATGGCATAAACATAGGTTATTGTTTGTTTTGCTCACCTTTTGTCGTTTGATTTCTTTTGTAGCTTTCTCTATTCTTTCTTTCAATTCTCTATCCTTAACCTCCATATGAGCCAGTGCATATTCTTCCATCTCTGCCAACTGTATTTTTCTCCTTTCTTCACGCTCGGCTGCCACTTCAGCATTCCATTTTTCATTTAATTCAACACATCGTGCCCAGTCCTCCGCTTCTAAACGAATAGACATCTCAGAACTAGCGCTTTCCTTAGTCGACTTTTCCTTTATCATTTCTTCGTAGTAAAACCTTCTTATAGCCCGCATTTGAGTCTTGTAATTATTATTTATACGCAAAAGCTCTAAACGTTCCTCTTCTGATACTACAGGTCGTTTTGGTATACGATAAATCTTACTTTTGGCGACAGGTAACCAACGAGGCTTTCTGTGGGCTTCAGCACATTGAACCAACATTGGCCATGATCGTTTTAAAAATACATTTTGTGAAATCATTATCAATACTCTATTGTTAAAACATGTATGGAGTAAATAGAAGAAGAATAAATGGGGGATGGAAAATAAAAAGAAGTATTGTTTTAATTAATAATAAACTGTCATCCTGTCACATCAGATTTGACAGCACACTAGGGTGACCGTTTTAGGGATGATCGATGTTCAGCTAGAAAACATCAATGTTTTAATTTCGATAACATCGGCACATCGATGTTTTCTAGCCAAACATCGATATTACGAATAAAATATCAATATAACCTTAGGGTCATCTAACATGATGTACTAGCTATATGATCTCGTATATCAAGTTCGACTATTTTACATTAGATGTCGCCGGTTGCGCCGGTTGGAAGTTAAAAATAAATCTGTCAACTTCAGCGCTCTTTGGTATCCTATAATTTACTTTATGCTCGTTCTCTCGCATCTCTCGCGTGATTTTTCTTGTGACATTAAGACAAGTGTGAAGCGAAAGTGAAAAACGTGAATTTAAGTTGCTTAATTTTGTAATTAATAATAATTAAACTTCGGAATCGAAGACATAGGTATGATTAATTATTTATTTGACTTACTATTTCTTTACCCAGTAAAGTTATACTTTTGAAGAAATTTAACCGATAACGTACTTCAACGACTGTTTCGATTTTATAGGTTATTATGAGAACGAAAATAAATGTAAGAAGATTACGATACTAACTGCTTGCTGTTTTTGTTTCACAATAAGGGTGTAAAGGTTCAAAAAGATCTTTTTTTTTCTATGTAATACATATGATTTTTTATGTATGTAATACACACATATCTTAAAATACATATTTTGGAACTCCATTAGCAACGCGCAGAAATACTTCCTGTATTTAAAAAAAATAAAGAAACTACATAAATTCATGTCACTAGATGGCAGCACAAATTGTAGGATCTAAATGTCAATGAGCTCCCTCAAATCCATATTAAAAAAATTTTTTTTTCTTGAAATCAAACTAGATGTCACTAGCGGTGTGTGGATCTTGTCTATGATATTCATTCTTTGTTTCTGAGGTAATAAAAGTAAATTGAGTATCGAAAATTAATAAATATGACATTGTTTCGTGTTTCTCATGACATCTAACTTTTAAATTAGTTTTAATTTATTTGAATCGTAGGTTTAAGTTATTTATTATGTTACGTGTAAAGGAACAATGTTTGATTATTATTGTATGATACCACTGTATTATTTTTCTCTTTGTTTATATGTCAACATTAGTGAATAGTGATGAGCCAACTTATTGGTTGCTCGTAACTTTAATTCAGGTTTGGAATCAAGAACATAAAGCGGAACGCTGAAATTAGTTTTTTTTTGTTCCACATTTCCATATGTGCCATTATGCATCCACACGTCGAATTATATTAATATTAATTTCAAAATCAATTCAGCTTAGGCTGTTACATAGCACTTGTGAAAGTCGAAAACTTTGCCAACGGTTCGTAAAATTAAGGCGGGAGATCTTGTACTGAAAAGAACCGGCAAGAAACTCGGCAAGGGCTGCTGTTTTCACCCTGTTTTATTAAGTCTATGAAGTTACTTTTCATTACAATATCAGAAATCCTACATACTCATTGACAAATCATTATACAATATTGATGCAGTTCTGTTTTTAAAGTTCAACTTACAACTAAGAGCAACGACACTAAGTAAGTTTTGTTGCTCTTAGTTGTAAGTTGAACTTACATCAACAAAATTGCATCAAGTCTCAATAATGTTTGGGATTCAGCATCAACCATATAACATTAACATTAATCTTAAGTGTTTTGTTTTAGAGTGAATTCAGCTTTACTTTAAAGCGTTTTGGTAAAAAGATTGTTATTGTTTCACTGAATCACGAGTGATCGCAGTTCAGGCAAATCACCACCTAGTTGAATAGTTATAATATTATATAATTTTTGTCGCTGATTCTTTAGCATTGAATAATAGTAGGTACTCATACAATTTATGGATGAATGAATGTATACTTTATTGCACAGAATAAACATTTACAAGTAACATAGATGCAAAAGGCGGCCTTATTGCTTAGGTAGCAATTTCTACCAGGCTACCTTTGGGCAAAAGGAACTGCACCATGTTATACTATACCATCTATGACATATTTGGCAAAGGACCCCCGTGATAGTGCACGAGGACGTCTGATCTTTACCGGCAGTAAGTTCCATAGTGTAATAGCTCTCATATAAAACGAAATGGCAATGAAATCAGTTGTATGGAGGTTTGGGGGTTGCGTTCTGTGTTCTATTCACCAGAATATTCAATGTCAACTTCAACTTGGATGGTTTGAATGTAGAAAGTTGACTTGACATTGGCAGAATCGTGCGAAATGCGCAGATAAGCCATTAATAAAAGAAGAAGAAGAATAATGTAGAAAGTTAAACGCTTCTTTACTAACTCGCTGAGAATATATAATAATCATTGTCCACCAGTGACATAAACAATATGAAAACTATAAAGAGTATAATTACTAGGCAAATGAATTTCGCTACAGAGGCATCACCAAGGAAAGGTTATAGGAAGACCTCAAGTCTTGAAGAATGACAAACGAAGCGTTCTTTAAAATATTGCGGTGTTTGAGGATTAAAAAGAATAGAATTAAAAAGAGATAGGATGTGAGAGTCTCTTCTACGAAAGATAGGTAGCCATTGAAGTTAGGTGCGATAATCAGGTACCCTGTCTAGATCAGCCGCCTCGTTGGTCATCCATGGAGGTGCGTATAACAATTTAATGCAGTACAAATGTTCCAATGAACATTTCTTTTAAAATTTAATATTAAGTAAATAATCATTATATTACTCAAAAATTGTTTTATAAAGTTACCAAGCCCAATTTTACCGTTGAAATTTTGTAACGAACTATAATTTAATTTCAGATGTTGAAATATTTTTAAACCCTTTCACAGAAACGACTGCATACTGCTTTATGTATCTGCCCAACTATTGAAACAATTTTATCGCATTTCTTATATTGTCGAAATCTGTATAAATACTTTGCTATGACCACATATACCATCGTCCACATATTAAAAGACTTCATGGTAAACATAGTTTTGAGATTTACAATGTTGCTGTTTTTATCTACTGATGGGGGGGGGGAGAGGGCGATCTACCCCAGGCCTCTTGTCCTGGGGGGGCCTCGTAATGGCAGCAAGTTACCTTGATCATATAAATTGGGGTTCTTATCTTTCTTAGGTAGTAGTTTTATAATCGTATATATTTATATATCACATCAATAATTACAGAAACTATGATTTTACTTAAATATATAAACATTTTCTGTTATGATATGACATTGGCCTAGACTCTTTTGAAATTTTGTATGTTATTTTAAGGTATGAGACCTCTTCATCTTAAGGCTCTTTCTCAATCTTCTCAATCTATCAATATCGGTTACAAGACCGAGACTGTGCAATCTCATGAGTAAACAAACACTTGCACTCCATATATATTGAATTGCACGAAAAACCTATAAAAAAGTTTCACAAGATTATTGGGCATGATATTTACTGCAATATTTAAAAAAATAACCACAATATTAAGTCTCACTTAATTAAAATGTTATTGTCGCCCTATTAGATAGCGACAAATAACCTCTGTAGGTACTTGATATTTCCCTCAGATCGCTTTTCAGCTGGGAGTACTCTTTATAAGTACTAAGTCCATTCATTACACATAGACATGACATGCTAAGATCTTTGATTTTTTTTTTAATGACGTAGAATCTAATCAAAGTATCTAATCCACATAGACATGACATTTATTTTCATTGAAAAATGCGTGTTTATTGCTTTTCTTGACTTAATATAATTTGAATTACACCTCAAAACTTATATATAGCATCTAAAATTCGATATCTAAAATAATTTATGAAGCCCATAGATTTTTTATGAATAACCATAAAATGAATACACTTTGGTGAAAGTGAGATTTAAGCACCGATTTCACTACCCAATTTATCGGGCACGATCTATCGGGTACACTGTAAATTGGGAAGTCTAATCGCTGTTAGAGAGTTAGGGTCCCGATATCGGGTGATCGTGTGCGCCCAACCACCCGATCTCACTAGTTAGTGCGTTAGGGCCGATTTATCGGGCAATGTGCTCGCTGTTAGGGTGTTAGAGCGCTCAGTCGGTTGTTGCGCAGCGTGCGTATGAGACGTCAGTGAACGACAACGAAATTTGGGAACAGAGAAAATTGTCTCCATAAAACGAAAAAGAAATTTTAAATGTAAATATAATTTAATATTATTACTTTTTCTTATAATATATATATGATATAATGTTTTAAACATTTATAGGTAGCCTTGCATGTGTCTGGTAGAATTTGTGATAGCATGGGTTCTGATATCAATGATTTTAGCGAAATTGAAAATTTATAATTATGTATTATAATTTTTTTATAATTTACAATAATAAAAACTAATGCTCATCCTTTCTATTATTGTTGTGCCCGACAGTGTCCATGGTGAGACTAACTTAATTATGTAACATTATTTTAAATTACTTATGGAAACAATAAACTTATTAAGCATTGAGTATTTATACTTTAAGTCACAATATGCATTTCCCGTTGCTACAAATTTTAAGGTTACAGCACAGCTAACCGCTGTTTTGCGCTTACACTAGTTCTAAATAACATATCTTGTTTCTTTTTTATATAAGGTATGACTAAGTTTAATATATGATCAAATTATGCAGAACTCATTCTAAGGTATTTCAAACTGCATAGTATGTCTCTTAGAAGCAAATATTTTTTCACCTAACATTTTCTATTTTTGTTTTATTATTTACACCCGCAGATAAAGTAAGGGCTACGCCAATTTTTTGGTACTTCGTGAGTGCAGGAGCCATCCTTTCAACACCACGTTTGGATGCCAACCATAGAGGAATAATAATAGGTTGGATGCCAACTGAGTTAAGGAGGCGATCTAGTGCAATGTAATCACAACGACGATAAATTGGGTAGTGAAAACGGCGCTTTAAGCTATAGTAAACAAGGCTGTAGTAGCTAGATGCCATTGTCTTTTATCAATAAAAAAAAAACTGTATTCAAATTTTTGAACGACCGACCAGTAAAACATAAGTTACATTTTTCTTTGCATAGTATTTAAAATTTCTTTGGACCACCGTAAAAGTGAACCAAATTTTTTATTAAACCGGTTCGTTTTGGTACTTAAAAGAAAACAAATAATTGTGATTGAAATTAAGTACATGAAATGGCGAATTCTATGTTTGATATATTCGGCGATCACCTAGTGAGACATGGTTTGAAAAATGTCTCTCGCCAGCCGCTATCCAACAATGGTAAATAATATATAGCTTAAATTAATTAATTCGGTGGTAATATGAATGATGTGATTACTTTAATGAATGCTTAATGTTTGTACAGAAAATATAGGCAAAGTTCTGACTGGATCGACTGAACCTCTAAAGAAAGGTGGTGGTGAAACGAAAAAGAAGTCCTTCCTCGCGAACACAGGAAAAGCTTTACAAGGTACTCCCTTAAGACAAGTGTTTACGCCACGAGCAGTGAATGTAGGTGCCCTCATCTACAAAGATCCAGATACAAATGATAAAGAAATTGATAATGAAAAATTTGAATTTACTAAGCCGACATATCAATATGGTGAGTAATAATTATGGAATGGTAGTTTATTTTGTTTTTGTTTAATAGAATTGTTGCCTATATGACAATGATTTAATCTAGCTATTGACTTTATATCTTTTGTTACAGATAATTTCTCAAAAGACATGCATGACTTCTTGGCTTTACCTTTGCCAGAGATAGCCGAAGATATATCTCCTCCCAACACACCGCCACCTTTAATCAAGCACACAATATCAATGGAATTTGAAGATTCATATGAGGATGATTTTTTTACTGGTATATTTTTGTGCCACTATTCATAAGAGTAAAAGAAACTAATCTCTCTAAAACTATTTCATCTTTGACATCACTTTCAGTTAAAGTCTCATCGATGATAACTAGTCATTTGTGCATCTTAAATCAATACACTTAACCCCACGGTACATGAATCTATCTATAGGTTAAGCTATCCAGCAGTTTAAGGGGATTTATAAGCTATTATAAATATTATTAAGGAATAGGAAATATACCTTTGGCCTTAATTCAAATTTGGTAATTTATATCAACCTTTATTTATTATTTTACAGATGACTTTTCCAATGAGTGCATTCAAGATGATGACCTGGGATTACCTGATATTTATTGATTACCATTATAAATTAAATGTCTTACATTTCATATAAGTAATTTAACTATTTGTGACTTGAGGAAATCAATAATTGCCTAATTTATATTCATTTCATATAATGTTACAATTCTGTCAATGATTTATTGTAAAATTAATTGGAAATTCATTGTTTTCTTTATGATTAAAGTATATAAGGTTACTAATTTTTCATCTGCCTCTTTATATATTACTTAAGATAGTTTTGCTTGTTATATTTTTCTAAATAAAACCACTGCAATTATCATCATTATTTTTATTGGAAATTACATATTCTTAACAGTAACGGTATTTACAATATAATTATACATACAATTCGATTAAATAATCTTTACATCATGTCAGATACTTCTTCCCATAAAATTGGACTTTTTTCTCAAATGCTGGAAAACTGATAACTGTATCTTCTTTGTAAAATGGGTTAAGCATCAATTTGATATACGTTTCATAAACTTCTGTAAAGAAATTCTTGATACCTTCTTCGTTACGGGCATCATGTACTATAATAAAACGCATCTAAAAAAAGACAAATATCAAAGTTTTATTATGTGCAAAAAAGTAGATATATATGTATATCGTGGATAAAGGTAAACTTTACATATAAAGTTTTGCCTACCTGGCTAGCAGTGACGAATGCAGACACAAACCATTGATTAAATTTGTCAACTGACTTAAGGTAAGTATTGGTTACTTTCCACATATGTTCATCAACTAAATCCAAGGCAGCATGGGCAATGAACTGATTCAGATGTCTGTTGTCTTCTTTCTGCAATATAAATGAACAAGTTCTAACGAGTGCGAGCTTACATTAAGGTACAACATAGAAGTATAGAGCTTATGCCTTAGTCTCTTTTGTGACAGGAATGAAATCCATCTCGAAAATCGGATTATCCGAATGACCTACAATGACAAAGTAATACGTCCCTGCCATTATATAGATTTACCAACAGAAACTCAAAACTAATATTACATTACTCTTTGCTCAAAACAACAAAATCGTTTAATGTCACTGTCAAAGTTGGTCAGAGAGTCAAAGTAGTAGTCAGTCACAGACATAGAGTAAGGTAGAGTGGAAATATTTTCTATGGTTATATAAATATCATGCAATCTGAAGTTGACATCAAAAACATCATGTTGTCTTTTTTTAACTAATAAGAAGTTTCTTTAGTAAACAAAGATAACATTAGTGTGACAGTTCAAAATTTTTTACGTGACGTCATGAGATATAGCTATCGTACCACCTGTCAGCCATTTGCAAATTTGCTTTGCGTATTCTCGGAAGTAGTTCAGCTGTCAGTGTTATAAGTTTTGTGGTTATTTTCATTTATAACTTTTACTTATATAACTTTCATGGCAGAAAATTGTAAATTATTTATGCAAAACAATGCCTAGGTGCTGTATAATTGGTTGTGCGTCATCAATATCCCGCAAACCGAGCAATATTACGTTTCACCGGTAAGTTAAACACTTTCTTGGAATAACAGTATTTAAAACGTAAGTAAGTTATTCTGAAAATGATTGCGTGTATAAATCGATACATATCGTATTTTGGCGTGTTCTATTTATGCTATATTGCTCTTTTCGTTTATATTTTTATAATATTTCGGTCCGTAAATAATATTGTTTACATGGCTAGTGTCGTTACTTTAACATATGGTTTATATCGATAATTTTAATATTTAAAAATATATTAATTATTTTAGATTACCAAAAGATGAAACAAAAGAGGAAAATGGCCGAGTTACATAGAAGCAGAAAATATTCAATGTAATGAAAAAGTTACTTTTATCTGCTCACTTCATTTTAGGGAAAGTTGTTTGAATCGAACTTTAAATATAATAAAATTACGAGATGATGCATTGCCAATCAAATACTCTGGTAAGAATTTTTGACAATTGCTTTTAACTTATTTAAAAAAAAATGTCTATTACACTTAGTTAATTTTCATTTGATTTTACCGATTTGTTTATTTAGTTTTTTATATAGTCATTTTGTTATTCTATAAATGTACCTTATTTTTAGTCTTGCGGTCATATGACGACTATTTTAATTGAAAACAATCAGAATGCAATATATAATAATATTAAAATATAAAATTCTGATCATAATATACTCCCAGTAAAATATACAATAAAATGAGTTAAATAATTTTAATAAAAATTAAAATATGCACACTTATCAAATTAAAGGCATAGTTAAAGGTTTTCTTTGCTGTTCAATAGTATAATCTTAATACCCAAATAATTATTTTGCGGCGTGGATGTTTATTTTGCTGATGCATCATAAAATACGCTACCTTTTTGAATTTAAATTGCTGACCGTTATCATGCATGATTGTTCACAGAACATAAATTGCAGACTGTTTTACTGCTGAGAAAATATTTGTATGCTTGCCTATTGATTAATCGGCTGTTTTCTTCTTGCTAACCAAATTTTTAAATAAAATACCAATTGTTACTTCTTTAATAATGTTACTGTTATGCCAATTGTTACTTATTCATCACCAACTTTGTTTTCTTTATTTTCTCTTGTTTATTCATCAAAGTTTACAGTATTTTTATGTTCTTTTACCAATAATATAATACAAAGATTATGTAGGTGTTTCAAGTTTTCTATGTTTACTACTAAACAAGATGTTCTGAACTAAAATTGTGACACAGTACGCACGGTATCTCACTTAATGAGGAGGAAGCGAAATTTATTCAGTCAAAACAATTTATTGAATAAATTTATAGACAAGTTGGCTTACTAGTTACAAGCATATAAGAAAGTCGAAACTCTGTGCTTATAGTTCAGCAATCTATTACGGGATACCTTGTACCGAGAAAAGAAGAAACTGTAAGAAAGGAACCGGTAAGAAACTGCAAGGGCTGCTTTTGTACCCTGTTTAATTTCGTACTGAAAAATAAAAAATTACTTCATTGGACCAAAATGTCACTTTCCACCAAAACAATAAAAAATATATAACAGACAAAAAAAAGCATAATAATTCATTCGTCAATCGACTCATTAAAAACTTATTATAGTTACCGTGGTAGTTATCTTGGACAGTAGTCACACTTCCCGTGGATGCAAAATTAAACTTATGTTAAAAAAACTATTTAATTATAATTGCAAAATGTCAACTTGACAATATATATGGAAATAATTATAAAACACGATTGATATTATTGTTAAACTTTTAAGATATATATTTTGGTACTTGTAAAATTGGCTATATTAGAGGAAAAAGAAACATATTTATCGAGGTACAATCATATTATAAAATTATATTATTAAATAATATAAATGTGAAAGTTTGTGAGGATGGATGTTGGTTACTCTCATGTAAAAACTACTGAACGGATTTTTATGAAATTTGGAATACGAATAATCTTTTACCCGTGGGAAGCGCCATCATACGCTGGTAACATATGTTATATTTACTATAGTGACGCATCGGAGTCGCAAGAACAAAGAACACAAGAAATTTTAGATGTCCAACAAAATACGAGCAAAAGATTGCTTAATGATTTATAAATAATTGATAAATACACGCCACTTTTAAAAAAAATATTATTTTCTTGATACTGGCGTGAATTTTTCAATTTAATTAATAATAATCATAAATAGGATTGGTACGTAAGTGTGAAATGAATAGAAGTGTAATAGGTAATTGTTTAGCCATGCCCCTAACAATGAAAATTATATTATATTATTTAATAAGTAGTAGTATTGTAGCAGTTTCATGAAATACTAACTTTTATTTAATATGACTTCAATGTCGATACAAATATCGATATCTTGGGTGACGCCCTATGACAATCCGCCATCGAAGAATTTGCATTTGAAGAGTAGGCATATACGCTTTTTTCGTAGGTATGGCCGGTCCTCTTCTTTTATGTCTATGGTCACAGACTAACAGTGTAACCAACTCTCAAAAATATTTATCCCTTAATCTAAGTCAAAACCCCCTAAAATTACCTCAATTTTTTGAAAATTCCCCTAAAAATATATTTTATTAAAATAATATACACACGAACAATAACATAACAGCTTACTATTTAAACATGACCTTGAAATTTCTAGTCACCTGTCACAGACTAGGAAAGAAGCACAGATTAAAAAGAAAGTTAGGAAGCGATACTAGTCATTAGAAAGTAATTAAATATAATTACACTAGATGTAATTCAGTCCGAAGTCATTCGATGAGTAAAAAAACATTTGAATGACTATTATTGGATTGAAGAGTTCTATTATATGCAGAATTACAGAATATTATGTATTCAGAAAACTCCTAAAAATACCCCTAAACATATAAAGCCCCCGAAAATCCCATCCCACTCAATTACCCCCTAAAGTTGGGGGAAAAACCCCTAAGTTGGGAACCGTGTAGACTAAGAAGAAAATACTAAGTATCTTGTAGTATTAGTTTCGTCCATGGGACAGGCGAAGGAACTAAGCTAAACCTTGCGTCCTTTACGTCACTGTCAGAGCACCAAAGTGTCAACGAAAGACTACAGTGCATGAAGATAAAGTAAATTCATAAATGATCTTCCTATTGTATAGATAATAATGGTAACTATTTGATTTAATAAACTTATTAAAAATTTAAAAAAAATTGATATTCAGTACAAATTGGCAATTTCATACTTTTAACCCAATTATTAAGTAATGTAATAAATATTTCGATTACATTCTTATTTTCCATTTCATCATTTGTACTTGATTAAATGCAGGACCGTTTTTTTTTTAAACTTCCTCATTGAAGGTTTTATGGTTGTTTGAAAATAATTATTTATTCAAAAACCTAAAACATATAAAGCATTGAATTAGTTAAAGAAAAAGAAAACGAAAAAAACTATAAATTGTGACTGTATGGAATCGATTCTTTTTTTATAGCGCAACAAGGAATAAATATATCAAAACGCGGGAAAAATCATCAATTAAATAAGTCTTTTTTGTTTGCTAATATGACGCAACCCAAAGGCGGAATCAGTAAATAAGATTATTTTCAAATTATTTCATTTATATACTGCAATTATTAATTTTTCATTTTATTTTTTAGATTCATGGTGGACACCTATCGATAAACTATCTTTTTGGAGTGGTGGATCTTGGATTAAGTACAATGACAAGTCACCAAATTTGACAATGTTACGATTACATTACGATCAAATTTTCATTATTGCAGATAACAAACTTCTGGAATCGTTCAATATGAATAGTAGATTGAGAGGTATTTATAAAGAGGACGTGCTTATAATGATCATGTATGCAAACAAACAGGAAGTAAGTTTCTTATGACATCTTCTACTTAGTTAAAGTATTTCAACAAATTGGGAGCATTTAACTCCAAAAGAAACTTCCAACATATTAAACAAAAAAACAAGCTACTCTCTTTGATACCCATAAACAGGAAACGCTTAGTTTTATGATATCTATGGTAACAGGGGTCCAAACTTTATTAGCATGTATTATGTAAGGGGCACACAATGCTGCCTTTCATTTCAATATTTTTATTTTTGAAAACTTTTTATTACTAACAACCTAATATTTTATCCAAAACTGATGATTGCAGATTCGAAAACTGAAATTTCAAATTAAATCCAATTCAAAATATTACTATAAAAAATTATCAGAACATTTTCCTGTTACCTGTCACAAAAGTTCACATAAAAAAGAGAACATGATCTACCGCAATATAGAAGAAATATTTCTCAAGGCTCTACAGGCCGATGGTAAGTTAAAATAAATCGGGAGTGAAGTGCTTATTCAATGAGAAAGTATTTAAAAAAAAATTTGTTCCCGAAATCAACTTTGCTTTCAGTTTCTTAATAAAAGGAATGGAAATGATTATCTTTGATCTCATTCGTTTCCTGTAAAAATCAACTTTTGCTAGAGTCGCCATCTAGTGAGGATTTTTTTAGTTTTCTTTTTTTTTCTGAAAATACCTCCTCATTACAATACGGCATAGGGGCAGTAGAGGTCGCGATGAACACCCTTGTACTCTATAGGTACTCTAAGCTTGTACTTGAGTCGAATTAAATAAAACCTATAGGTTTTGCTTTAATTGAAGCTCTATGCTTCCCCACACACCGCACGTATTTTACCATATTTTTGCAATGTATAATTTAATTTAGGGACTGAAAATATTTCTGTCCCATCGTAGCCTGTCTATGAATTTATTTTAAAAGACATTTTTAATCTATTTTTTTTATTTGATTAAGTATAATACGACACTGGCGTTCTTCGACCTCACGGATTAAAACACGACGGGCATACCCAGGAAAATGCGTTACGATGTACCCTTCCTTCCCTTCTTTGCAGAAATGGCTTCTAATCCCACAAGGATGTCTACAAGCCTTTAATTGCGTCTGCGTTTTTTACGTCTTTCTGTGTTATATTTCGTACGCTGAGAACGATAGTGACACAATGCAAAAAATGCGATTTCCAGTAATAAGCGTTTAAAGTTCAAGAAATTGTAATCCGCACTTCTAAACAACGTATCGTCTCTACGTCACCTAGCAGTTTCTATGCAAACTACGTTCACAGGGATCTTTGGTTTTTAAAGTTTATACTTAACCAAGAAAAATGTTGTCAAAAGTAAAAAATACGTCGTTTTTGGTTAATTACGTCGTCATTCTCAACGTGCAATTTGTATTTATGTTCCGTGTTATGGTCCTGAACCACGTGTTCACTTATTAAGATACCTATAATATATATTTGTTTGATAATTTGTGATCACAGCCGCTACTAAACTAAGTGAACAAGTTAATGTGAACCAGCGCTTAAGGCTTTATGTATATGATAGGATGATTTACTTTACTTTCTATTTTTCAGCAACTACTGTGCCAAATATTTCTCTACCGTCAATGTACGCAGAATTTGTCAAATTCTGCTTACTGGATCCTATTTTTCCCTTTGTTGTGGAAGAAACTCGAAAAATTATTCAGATGATCAGTAAGCCTGATGACAAATGTTAGAAGTTGAAATTGTTTTTTAGTTATATATAAATTTATCTTTTAATTCATATTTATTAATAAAAAATAAGAGTAATAAAGACTTTGTTATTTACACAAAGCTCATTACTATTATTAAATGATCAAACGAACTTACCTGAAGTGAAGTTCGATCTTGATTATCCTGTCTTCGCCCTTCGAGATTTAATATTTGACCATGTAGTAGCCCTGCTACGCGCTAAACCTATAGCGCTAAACTCAGCAAGGGCTGCTTTTTTTAATTTCAATTATACAACTCACCTATACCATATTCGAGGGAACGTAACAACCTTAAGCACACGACACCACCGCAGAGATTTTAAGAGAGCATGATTACTCTAGGTACTCAGTAAATAATATATTACAATAAAACTGATTTCTAGAGTAGGTTGTGTAGGAAATAGGAAATCGATCTATTATTAACAATATTATAGTAAGAACCAAAAAGCACATACCCTCCGTACGAATTAACTTAACACATGGGTCGACGTCCGCCGTTGACATGCAAGATAAGTAGCAATAGTATAATAACTGTACGTGTCTTTGTGATTTTGAAATTTAAAGTTAACCTTGCTGTTCGTTTAGAACAGACGTTTTTTATTGGTTGCTGAATGTTTATTAAAATAATTTAATTATGAATATAAGATTAAATAATTGATCATAGTTTTTTAAAGTCTTAATTTCGAAAGCACAAGTTATTTGCACGTCACACTTTGCACAAATGTCATTTTAGCCAGAAGTCATGTTATTTTGTACGAATACCTTGTATATTTGATACATATCGGTTAAGTATATAGATAATAAACGGATTTTGTATTATAATTATCGTTTTATGAATTTTCATTCATTCATCATACATAATATATAAATATTATTGAGACTTGATGTACATAGTTTTGTTGTTGTAAATTCAACAAACAAGTAATAGCAATGAAACTAACTTACTTAGTTCTTATTGTTTTCAGAACTTTTGTTAAATATTATAATGAAAAATTCCAAGACCTACTATGGCATAAGTATTTTATTTATAAAAACTATTTAGTGGCCGTAGCTCAATGCCACTTTTAATTATATCACAGCATTCATTCAATTGATTTCCATAAATTTAAAAAAACCTCTGTGTTCACTTCCATTATGCTAGTTTCCATTTTCCTCTATAGAAATCAAAAATAAATTTATTGAAAGATTACTTTGTATTAATCGAGTTGCGTTTTAAAAACTCGGAACTAATTAAATTTCAACTCGATATTAACCCGAGTTATCAGATCCATAATAACACTGACAACTCTATTCTCTCTGGTTTATCGTCATTAATTGACGTTTAGATCCAAAAATTTGTGCTGCCATCTAGTGACGTAATTTTTTGTAGCTTCTTTATTTTTTAAATACTTCCTCATTGCTGATCAAACACGCTAACCACTACTTCATCGAGCTATTCACTTTTATATATTATATATACCTATATGAGATATTTTGCCATATTTTTTTGTCAATTTGAATATATTTTGACGATGTTAAACTTTTTTATAGTCCCGAAAATGCTGTTCGTCATATTCATGACGTCATTGTGATATATACACAAAACAGATACATATAGTAGAAGACTAAAAGATGTCAATCAAACATTTTGGTCTTTTCGTTTTGAGACGATATTGATTCCAAAAACTCTATATTCGATCAAATCAAATCGAGATTGGAATCTCTACATTATTAAAAAATACGCAGTTGTCAATGTCAGTCAAATGCTTGTTTTCTTCTTGAAATTTGAAATTATAACGATTGTTGTTTGTGGTTGTTTTTGTTTTAGTTTTAGTTTCATAAATAGCTAATTATTTAACAGCTTTAGTTCGACCAGACTTAAAAAAATTTCACATTAATTTGAATTTTGAATTATTTGTTACTCTGTTCAAAATGCTGCCAACTAGGTATGTTCCTGGTCAATCGTCAGTTATGCGAAAATCAAGGTAATATTATTAATATATTGTATTACTATATTATAAGGTAATATATTTTCATAAATTCATAGTAAATCATGACTGACAATGTGTACTAATTACATTTTTACTTTAATTCATATTTTACCACATTAAAAAAAATGGAACTTATGATACGTTTTAACACTTTAGTGCACCCTGTGGTTTTTTTTAATAAAATAATTAAAAGACAACAAAACACTCGAAGAATCTCACGAATGTAAAACGAAGCATGCAGTAGTCATATATTGTTAGAAAAACTTTACAACTTTGATTGCTAACTTGTCTTAGATTGGAGGGAAAGCCGTCGTTATTGCCGAAGCCCCGGCGGCCGGGTTCCACTGATCGCTTGTCGGCGGAAGCTCGCCGTCCTAGTACTACTGGCCAGCGATCCAGCAGTGCCGAACCAAGAGGCACTTTTGGCCCAGGGCGTTTGAGTAGAGAAGCTTCACAAACTAAAATCCAATCAAATGGGGTAAGGCTTATATTACTATGAACAATACCAAGTACATATCAATTAAATTGTGAGTTAAGTGTCTGGGTAAAATATAATATCAACCGTTCATGGGAACATGTTAGCAGAGAGTGTAATTTATCATTTGAATTATGGAGAATAAATATTTATATTTATAATTATAATATACTTTTATCATTTATTATGTTCAAATAAATTTGTTATTACAGAGGTCACGTTCACAGCAAAGTGAACGCTTTGGACAGACATCTATGACACCATTAAGATCCAGTCATTACAGTGTCAGACCCACTACTACACCTGTTGTAAGTACATTTTTATTTCAGTCATGTTTATATAATTCTTATTTTGTATTTTAATTATATTTTCCTTTTTAGAGAACTCCATCTGAAGATCGTTCAAGTCGCAGTTGGCAGACTTCTCTTGATAGAGCTCTTGCTTTTGTCACAATCAAGGATCAAAGGTGCAAGGTCATTTTAAAATAACAAAAATGACTTATCTTTTTAATAGAAATACAAGGCTTATGGAAAAATGTGCTTCATTTAAACACTAGAAAAAGATCTTGAAGTAATATTTAGCCATTTATTATAAATCAATTTAAATTTACTATGAAAAATGTTTCCTAATAAGGATTGTTTGAAGGTGACCCTTCATGAAGTAGTTATGAATACTCAAAATTACTTAAAGCTACTAACTAATCAGTTTTTATTAGAGTTTTTATATATAATGTGTGCAGGCCCATATCTAACGCGGGTTGGCAGCGGGCAGAATTAGCCCGTGTGCAAGAGGCACTATCGCGTCGCGGGGGGGCGGGGTCGGAGGGCGGTGGCATGGCGCTGATCCGGCCGCTTACCATTGCACGTTTCGTGGACATCGCCGGAGCCCTACTTAACGCCATCACGCGCGACGCCAAACTCAACAACGACAACTACGTCACTAAGGTCAGTATGTGTTATCAGTTGGAAATGGCAACTTATATGTAAATTCAATAAAGTATATGTCAACATCTTTAATGCAAATGTGACATCAGGGCTAGAAATGTCAGATGACAGTTTTCATGGGAAAATTTAAATATCAATGAATAAAAGTATGTTTTCCTTTATTTAATAACAGTTTTTGGAGAAAAATAATTCTGACAGTGATTTAATACTGGATGGAATAGACACTCCCGAGGTTCCTGGAGAGTACTATTTGTCTTTAATATGATGTAAAAAAAATTATATGTCTAGGTGAAATAGTTTCGGAGATATTAAATTACAAAGTTTTTGGAAAAAAATTAGTGTTTTCAACCCCGAGTCAGCTGTTTTTGGGACGTACTAAGGAACAAGTTTTTAATCAGTCATTGACTTCATTTCTAAACACGAAATAAACTAGTTTATGATTTATAAGACCGCTTTCATGCAAATTCTACCAGACAATCACTAAACAAGGCAGTCAAAATGTCAAATAGTCCTATTTTATCAAACTGCTATCAACTGATCATCAAAAAACTAATCGTTAGTTACCCGCTTTTTAACAATTTCAAACTGACTATCACTCAATGAATCAGTCGAAATACTGAAATTAATTAATAGACTAACATTTAATAAATCAATGTAAAAAGATAATTCTAATATTAACTAATTTACATTACGTTACTACATTATTTAAAATAGAGTTTCCAAAAAATTGTAACTAAATAGACCAAATAAAACAATCATTTATTAAAGTAGTTAAACTAATACATCATCCATTAACATAAAGTACATTTGTGATAATAATGAACCATTATCACAACTTAAAGCTACTAACTTTAAGTTGTGATAATAGTTCATTATTATCACAAATGTATTTTTTGTTGAAGCACTAAGTAAGGTTTTGGTTACTTATTTAAAATGTATTTAAAAGGAAAATTCAAAAACAATTGCATGGTAACAAAAAACGAATTCGAAAAATAGATAAACTGAATTTGTCAAAAATAGGTAAAATATGATTTGATCTGATGCCAATCAAATCAAAGCCAAATGATTATTTGGATTTGCTGTAATAAGTTGACAATGCTGAGAATTGAAATTGCTTTCATTTATTATAAGTGACAGTTACATACTAAAGACATTGACTGAAATTGATGTCTTGGTCAGGCTGCTGTAATATTTGTTGATGTTTAAATATTGTCTGGCCAGTTGCCGCACCTGTCCAAGCGTCTGCTGTATCCGGGTACAGTGTCAAAGTCCTGGCTGAAGACTGTAAACACCTTGCATGCGTTTCCACACGCGCTCGCGCTCATCGCCTACCTGCTGGATCTAGCTAACCATATTGTGAGTTGCATACATTATATTTTGCACCAAGGAATATTTCAAACCGTCATTCTCAAGGTGCAGAAAACGAGTAGAAACTTTGTTTATCATGTATAATTGATAGATAAATTGTAGGTATAATAGAAAATTTGTGTTTTTGATGAATTATGACTCATAGTATATAATATTTTTTGCACTGCTCTCATTGGTTAATTGGAGAGAAGTGAAGCAATGATATACTGGTAGGTACAACATTATATCATATTGAATCAACTCAATTAAAAAACCTATCTTTTATTCAATTTCTTTATCATATTTTATCATATTAAACTACTGTAAGCATACTTTAATTAAAAAGCAAATGTTTGTCAGGTAAACAGGTTACCATAAAATCTCTAAATTTGTATTCTATTTTGAATTATGGAATTTATAAATAACAGACATTTTAGTCTATGAAATGGATATAGATTACTCTCATTCTCTATAGGCAGCTTTATGTGGTATAAAGAAATGATTGTTTCTCATTTCTTGCTTGGTATTTTTTTATTCTTATTACTATCCTAATTCTCATATTTATGCTATAGGAGATGCCAGTCTCAGATGATTGGTTATATGTCGGAAAAGACGAACTGGCCCAGCTGAGACGTGACTATTTGTACAAGTGTTGGATCAGGTAATAATTAAGAATGCAATGCCTTCTTATACCTTGCTTTTTAAAATGTTTATATTATTAATAAGTATATAAATGAAATTATCCAGATTCCAAGATCCAGGTCATCAATTTGAAGATTTAAATGAGGAATATTTAGAGAACTTGAAAGTTCTGCTAGGCAATGATGAGGAGAAGATTATGGAGTTGCAACAGATCATAAACAGTAAGTAATGTGCATGTTTTATTTTAAAATGGCTGTAGGACGATTTTGATCTCTATGTAATGTAAACTGGTTATTATTATACAGATAGACGTCCAGGATAGGGACTATTCCTTTTTATTCTGGATATCTGGAAAGATGATACAGAGATGAGTTTGTGTTGGTGGTACGAACAATCAGACTCAGCAAGAATTGGTCCATTTTGGTGCTTCTGTTTCTGATTAAGAAATGTGTGCTCATGTTTTGTAGGGCTCTCTTTATTATATCTTTTTTTTTAATGAACAGTATTAAAATCAAATGCGATAATGATTTAATATGATAATATGAGAGTCTTAAAATAATGGTACCTAATCACTTTGAAAATTTTATTTCTCAAAGTCATAAAATCTTTAATTGAGATTAACCTATCTCTGACTAGGAATTACTTTTCAATTCGGCTGTCGGTAGGGTGGATAATTGAACAACAACATTGAGCTTATGCGTTTAATGTAAAATAAATACTACAGTCGTTCTACATTCTGCTTTATGGTATTTCGTGATTTATCCTGTCACCGTTTTAAGTGTGACGTAATTATTAACGACACTTTATATCGTAACAATACTGGCCTGTTGTAGAGTATACGGCGTGCCTGGAGGACGAGGTGGAGGCGGCGGCGCGCGAGGACGAAGCGCGCCGAACGAAGCGCAGGGACGCGCTCCTGGCGGAAGTACGCGCCGTACGCGCCGCACGCGCCGCACTGCGCGCCAACATCGCCACCGCGCACGCACACAAGCACGACCTCACGCTGCAACACCACCACCACGACCAGGACATAGAGCGCGCCACGTGAGTACAGATACACTTACACACACAGAGAGTGTACTCTAGAGATGAAACGGATATCCGGTTACTATCCGGTATCCAACCTATCCGGCCTTAATTTTATTAACCAGCCGAATACCGGATAGGGTGCCAATATCCGGCCGGGTACCGGATAGTAAAACAGACATAATACTATCCGGTATCCGGCCGGATATTGGCACCCTATCCGGTATTTACACAAGGAAAATTATACCACTTTATACATTTATTAATTAGTTTAATACACAAAATTAACAAGTGGCAAATTGTGGTGAATAAATACCAAACCTTCTGCTTTTGTTGGTAAGGGGCGACTCCGCTTTGCTTCATATACCAGGCCAGCTTCAGGAAATTCCTATTTTAAGTATTTGCCCGAGTTTATGTTGGCAATTTTATCTCTGCCACACTTGAATGTTGAATGCGAAAGAGTTTTTAGCAAAGTAAATGACATAAAAACTAAAAAAGGAATTAACTCCTTATGAGATCGGTTAATTTATCGCAACTAGCCATACAGCGTCAAAGAATAAATTCTATTGTTTTTGTTCCCATCGATACAATGTTTCAAAAGTATAAAATAAATATGTATAAAAATACCGAAATAATTAAACTGTCCTAAATAATTAATAATAACGTGTATTTTTCTACTCTGACCCAAAACGTATTGCTCAATATTCAAGGTAGTTCTACAGTATTTTAAATTAAAAATACTACATTATTTTGAAAAAATAAATGATTTCTACCGCCTGCTAAATTTCAGAGTTGGTAACACTGCTTATACTTGACACGCTATAGATTCAAATCAAACTTATCGGGTCATGTAAAGCGATAAAGGCCGAATATCCGGTATCCGGCCAAACCACTATCCATTACATCTTTAGTGTTACACTAAAGATGAAACATACGGAGAAAAGAGACACATAGGGAGAGAGGGAGAGAGAGAGATACATACGCAGTATACGTAACACGATACCTGATATTCTATTTGTTCTCAAACAAAAATTAAGAATATTATCGGTGAATCAGAGACAGGGTCATGGCCCATTCTCCCGATTCGATTCCATCCATAGGGATTACCTATGCTCCAGCAGTTGGAACATTAATGGGTTGCTGATGATGATGATATGGTAACAGTTTGGAGAGCCAGCAGCTGAAGCGTGAGCTGGAGGATCAGCCGCTGAGCATGTCCGAAAGGGCGCGTCTCCTCGACGAGATAGACTACGCCCATCGCGTGCAGGACTCCAAGCGGTCCCTCGCGCAACAGATTGAAAAGGTATGATCCTCGCAAGTTGCTAATGCGCCTGGCGGCTATTTTGGTGTCGTAATTGTGTTCAACAATTTGTACTGTTAGCAAATAAACACTGATTTACGAGTACACTTATTAAATTGCTTTGTGATGAGGTCGCACACAATTTTTGTTACTTTTTTGTTGTTTTCGATTGTTATTGTTAAGTTTTGTTATTATTTGTTATGGTTGAATAGCAACTGTTATTATGTTTCCCACAATAAGTAAATTTGATTTCATTAAAAATGAATATATCTAATGTAATTAATTACATAATTACTTTTGACGATTTTTAAAAAATAGTCCTTCTGGTTATCGCGTTATTATAAAGTATTTTTTTATATATATTTTTTTGTTACCCAAATACCACAATATTAATATATAAAATGACGTTTCAAAAAGTCTTGCAATAAATTAACAAACTAAAAGTTATTAAATGATTATAACAATATTTTTGATATTATTCATAAATATTTTATAATATGAAAAATGTTTAAAAAATCTATTTGTATCAGTCACTCAGAACCCTTTCGCAATCTGGGCAACTGCTGATTTTTTAAGCATTTTTCATTAAAATATTTTTCAGTATAGCATTGTGAATGCAAAATTAATCAAATATAATATTCACAAATATTTCAATAATTAATAAAAAAAAATATCTCTTTCATTTTGTGCTATCTATACTTTCTGTTTTCAAATTAGCGCATTAACAATTCCGGGGTTTATAACACTCACATTACCTCGCCATTGGGCGTTTTCACACTGTCACCTGATATCGAAACGAAAATTTTTCCGCGACAGTAAAGTTGGTTGACTACAACGACACAGTGCGAACGTATCTAGTAGTGATTATATTAAACTACTAGTCTGACGATATCGTGCAGTTATCGTCCAATTTGAATGCGCCAAATCCCAACACATTCACACTGTGTCAAAAAGTTTCCAAAGATACAAATTTTTAATGTTCCGTGCCTCAAAAGATAAATTACCTGCCAAATGAGAGCCTCTTTAAATATTGTTAAGAAGACTGGCCACTCACCTCTTTTAATATTGTTAAGAAGACTGGCCACTCACCTCTTTTCTCCTTAGCCGGACCTGCACGTTCCCTCAGGACAACGGTCAAGGCGCTGAGTTTATCGAAATTATCCTAGGTCACTGTTTCAATCTTCCTCCTTGTGTTTTTCACACCGAAAACGCTTAGTAACGCGGGAAATGTTCCTTTCGAATTTTATGAAATTCGACGCAAGTAATGAACGAAATTATTGTTAAGAAAAATCACATATGCAGCCGCACGTAACACGTTGAAAAGCGCAATGTCTTGAACTTCGTTTTGTTTGAAAAAAAAAAGGGCGGTTATGCTTGTGGCGCCTCCCTGGTATTGAGCGGCGGACTTAGGAACTAATTAAGAATGAGTGGCCAGATATAATGAAGTAATCAATCCTAAATAATTTTGAAACGGAATTGTGCTTATCATACCAAAAAAAAAAAAAAGAAAAATAAACAAACATATATTATATGCGAAAACTGCTTCACTACGGAACAAATATTTTATTCCGTTTTTAGTATTTGTTGTTATAATTAACACTAACTGTGAAAATGAGCTCCGTAAAAAGTTTCATAATAATTAAAAATTAATTTGTAACTACTTTGTTGTTCATAAAAAAAAAATTCAGCTAATAGGAAAACATATTCAGCAATTGCTACAAGTTTGTTTTTCGCCGCCGCCACTAGGTGTTGAAGCCCTTGAACTCCTCACTGGGTACTGAACGATGTGTATTTACCCTTTGTACTTCAAAATTCTGAAATCAATCAAGCTTTAGAAAGCTCTTGCACATTTTTGTCGCGAGCTCTCCGACTAATAGGGTAGTTTCAGTTGTGAAAAATAAGTCACGAAATTGGACAAAAACTAAAATTTACATTGTAATAAAGATTTTTATTTAATGTCTTATCTTTTATTGTATTGTGTATTATCTTATCTTCTTAAAATTAAAAGTGGAGATTTTTCGTTTGTCACTAGACTTGAAACACGACCCGCCATTGTGTGACGTAATTCTGGCGACAGCTGTCATTCGCAAACAACGTCCATTTATTTATTAGTTGTATATATTTATTATACTTCAAAATCCTGGATGGCGCTGTTCTTATTTATATTTTTTGTTTCGTAATCGACCGTTAGATGCAGTGACATCTAACGGTCGATTACTGTTCTTGTTTATTTAAATTAACATTTACAAGTACTATTTCAAACAGTAGAATACCCTATTATCTGAACTGGAATTATTGGTTGTAGATGGTAGCCAGTAAGGAGGTCGAGTTGGCTCAATGGCAGATGAAGACACTGGACAGTTGCGTGGAGTACAAACAGGGTCTCATACACCTCACCGCAGAGTTCCCTGATCTTGCTTCACTCGCTATAGACGAAAAGTATGATGCAAATTATTTCTATGATCCTTTTGAGTCTATATTAGTTCAAGTCATACTTACTTTGTTTGCGTGAGCTTGTTAAGAAAAATCATTTATATGTGTGACAGTGACGCTTCAGTCGTTGTCCGAGTAACACGTGTTCTTATCACTTATCAATCTTTTGCCACTCATAAGTCTGTAGCCTGAAGGCTACAGAGGCACCATTGATACGGCGTAGTTTCCTATGTATGATTTGAAATAATACAAGTGTAGCCAGTAAACGGAAATGAACACATTTTTTTTTCTGGTAGTGTTTAATATATTATTATCGATAATCACAGTTTTATGCTTATTATATTTAAAATATTGCTTAAACTAATTATGAAAAAACAAATATTTCATGTGCGTGACGTCACTCCCTTCACTTCACTCACATCAGAACTTAGAGAATTCAACCTTATGCATACTTAGCGACGCCATGACAGAAGTAGCGCTTTCGCTGGAAATTATGAAGTTTATTTTTATAGATTTCAATTTATGTCAATAATATTTTTTTAGATATATTCATGTATATCTATAAAATAAAAAAGTTGTCTACACCATTATTTCAGTTATAATGTAAGTTTTATCTGGTGTCAGGGAGTTGATGGGCGTGGAGTGTGCAGCGTTGGTGTCGAGGGCGGTGGAGGCTCTCAAGGACAAAGCCGCCGACCTCAACAACAAGCGCGCCCTCCTCGCGGCACAGCGGACCAAGCTCACCAGGCATCGCACCAATCTTATGGTTAGTATTATATAACTAAACCGAACAGAACATAGCAAAACCAAACTATATATAATTTAAGGTAAGGAGGGCTCCTATCAGAAGTGAAACTATTTTAAAGAAACACCGAATCACGATAAATTTCTTTAATAACACCTAAGCCGATGACACCTCTTCCTCGGCTCTCCTTACAATAATATAATACACGTACCGAATCTGATTGATTGAATCGATACCAATTGTCTACTTAAAAGTTATAACAATAAATTATGATATATGTTGGAAATAATAACTTATATGTAAACAATACCTGTTTTATTTTTTGTTTTAAAATTAATTATAAGTATATTTTATTTTTGCAAAATTAACTTGCGATTTATATCTGTGACTAATTTATGTCTGTAAAAGTATATAATCTGTATATTACAAGGAACAAATGCGGCCACCCGTAATGGAACATCGTGTGACGTCACATTTCAGTAAACTAAACTTCTTTGTTGAGAGTGAAACCAGTACAGTCAATAAACAAGTTTAACGTCATGGCGCGAAATGTCACGTAACTGCTTGTTTTTGTGGGACAATTAAAATGAATGAATTAATACATGTTTCTACTTTATTAAATAACACTTGGAAAAAATAAATGTGATAGTGATTTAATATAATCGTAAGAAAATATTAAAATTATCAAAATAGTCAAGTAACCAGTTATTGAAATTCATCGTTCAAATGTGAGCATTAAGGTTTTATTAATTAATTATTAATAAGTAATATTTATTAACATATATTAATAATTATTAATTAAGGCATTAAGGTTTCTTTATGATTGTCATAATACGAAGTGTCCAAACGTTGGACTTACGCATATGATAAATTTCAAGATAAATTTTCTATTTCCTCATAGGAGGAGGCTCGCGCTAAAATAGCAGAATTAAAGAGTAGCATAGAGCGGGAACAGCACGCACTAGATGAGGAAACTAACAGCGAAGTAACGGAAGCTGCCGCGTGCAGCGACGAGCTCGCCGCCATCAACGCGACGCTTGAAGCGCTGCGAGCTAACCAAGCAGAGTACAAGAGGATCGAAGCCGAACTAGAATTCTGGGAGAAACAGGACGCTTTGTGAGTCTTAATGTGTTAATTTATTAGTATTTAGTTATGCAGTCCGAGATTCTTTTTAAGGATATAAACTATCGACATATATTTTAATACTTACGCATTTCGTCAAAAAAGTATTCGTTCGAAATATCGAGCTATTTTTGCTTCATAAAAACTTATCACTTGTAACTTCTATGTGTATCTGTACCTATTAAATTAATTATTGCCAACAGTTTGAAACGTTTTAACTGTTATTTCATCATAGTTCCATTTTTTAAAATAACAACCACTCCTAAACTTATCTGAATTCAATCATCAGCTGCTACCTATGAGAGACCTTAATGAGGAAGTATTTAAAAAAAAAAAGTTAAAGAAATCAAACTAGATGTCGCTACGGTACGTTATTGATTTATCCATTACAACCCTTCCGGTTTTCTATCATGTTTAAAAGTAAATTAGTTTTCAAAACTCAATAAACAACTCATATTCTGTTTGTACTTTTTCGTATTTGTATTGATATCTAAGTATCGAACTTTTCAAATTTCAGTTTTTTAATATTTTAGTTAAAAGGAACGGAAATGACTGTTTGGTTCATTCGTTTCCTGCAAAAATCTTTTGCTAGAGTCACCATCTAGTGTAGGTGCCGTTTTTAATACTTTCCCATTGCATCACGCTCCATTGAGCCATGAGTAAAGAGCCTTAGAAGTGTTTGTTTACTCATGAGATTGCCTAGTCTCGGTCTTGTCTTTTTAAATTAGCTTCATCACCACTTACCATCAGGTGGGATCGTAGTCAAACGTTAACCTATAAAGTATAAAAAAAATACTTCTTCATTACTGAAATTGATAATATTTTTTTCTAAGTTATTTGAAAAATAAAAGGGAATAAAATTATGTTTTAGAAAGACTAAATTTAATATAGGGATATCGAAATTATTTTGTTTGAAAATATAGTAAGAAAGCTGAACACATTTATAGGATTTTGTAAAATATTTCAAAATTTCAGATGGCAAAGCCAGCTGTCGTCGCTTCGAGAATATATAGCATCTCAACGGGCAGAAGTCCCACGTTTATTGGAAGAGGCGTGCGCACGTCGTGTGAAATTGATCAAGAATGCTGTTACTACTTGGCAAACGAAACTCGAAAGGAGTATCCATACTAACGGGACCAATTGAAGAACAACTTAAAGTAATGCTAACATGATTGACAATCAGTCTTATCGCATTAACTCTGTATCCTATGAAAAGGTAGAACCTTTTTACCAAGCATGATTGCGAGTAATAACGTTTTGAAAATACAGCAGGGGAATTATCTAGGGTCGAAAATGAAGTAAAGTCAAGCTATATAGTATCATATTTTACTCCAATGAGAATATCAAACTCGTGAACCACACAATAACATGTAGACATGGATGATAGTAGTCTGAAATAAAATGTCTAAAATATTTTAATAAATTATTTGAAGTTTTTTAATTAATGTTCCAATGTAATTTATCAAATGATTTGATTGCCGAGGTGTAATATTATACTTAGAATTAATATCTCCAGTGATCATTCTGATCCACATTGCCTATGCTAATTTATAGTTGTAGTAAAAATATTTTGTACATATTATTTAAGCTTGTTTACAATAAATTTGTTTTATGTATAAAAATGTTTTTATTTCATGCCTATGTTGGGTAAAGGGTTGTTTTAAATTATTTTTGTTCAATTTTTTCCTTATGACTTTTCTGTGCTTTAACCAGAGTCTAGTTGTTAAGTCGCTATATATTTGTCGGGTCTCTGCACTATATTGTATATTAGCCCAGTGTTCGGTTAATGACCGAACACTGCATCATATGCATTTTACGTAGTTTAAGTAAATAAGCGCGGCTCGTTGCGAAAAGTAGGTCACCGCCAGCCAGCCTGTAGTTACATATGTTTTTTTAGCAGAACATTTCGATCCCCGTTACCGGTTGGATGTTCTCTCTAACAATTATCTCATTTATCATTAACATTAACATTTTGAATTAACATTTAATAGACTTAGTAAACAATATAAACTTTTGATGGATACTTAGTAAAGTGACTTCTATACAAACATTATTTTTACATTATCCTCCCCTACGCTACGCATACTTATCTCCGAACACCCAGTTTTATGGTTTTTACTAAAAGATCTAAATAAATAAACACAAATAAACATTAACAGCATTTATTATCATCTGGCATTATGATTAAAGACCAAGTCCACACCATTTTCTATAGATTGACACGTGTCTTTGAAGGCGGGCTGCATCCAGTGATGAGAGTGGTGCGATGTGGACGTCTGGCGAGCTGTTACAGCTTTGGGCGGAGGGATCGCAGGTTTGAATGCCATCTGAGACCCGTCGTAATTCTCCAATATTTGTATCGGTGATCTGGGGAAACAAAAGCGCATTGGTTAATATTTCTTAAAGCTATGTTTGTATGTGTTTGTCAAATTCTTAAAGTAGTTCACTGTTTCATTATGATTTCTCCATTATTTAACGTTTTTATATTGTGCGTTTCTTTTTTGTTTGTTAGTGGAAAACTCAAAACTACTGGACCATTTTAAAATAATATTATTCGTAAGTTCATAGTTATTATAACATAGAGATTCTCTAAGAAAGGATTTTGAAATATGAAACCTCTAAAGAGTTTAAATAGGCGTTTGAAAACCATGCGAACCACGCGAGTTAGAGTTGGGTCGATATAAAGTCGCATTTGACATTTATAAATCTGAACTTGCTAGTGAGGCGTCCTTCTTAACATTTTTGATTAATTTAGTGAATCTATATGGTTTTCAAAGAAATGTGAATGAAGCTATTGTGCCAAAATAATATAATTTTTTTTATTATTATCTATATAATTATTACTTCCCAAGATTTACTATTAAATAATGTATTGAGTCGACATTGTAACTTGAACAAAGAACAAAACACAGATAATAAATGAATAACGTACAAATTAATTATTACTTGTGCCAGAACTACTGGACCGGTTTAATTCGAAATCTATACTGGTATTATAAAAAAGTTAAGTTTCAAACTTTGTTTGGATGAGTCTTCGGAAATACTGAACCAATATTGAAAATTTTCTCGACACATCATACGCGGTTACATAGAACCTATGTTAAATTTATTTCTTATAAATTTAACATTGGTTATAATATACACTGGCAAAGTAAAAACAAGTAGATATAGAGTATCTCACGTCTTATGCAAGTCCGGTATGAGTGTTCCTTTGAAGATATCTCTAGCAGCGTCCCTGACTGTAGGATGGTAATGTCTGGTGAGTGGTCGTACGTCATACGCGACGGCGGCGGCCGCGCCCGCGTGCTCCGGGCTCTCCACTAGAGGATCGAACTTGATCCCACAAGAGTCCACTACCGGCTCCAGGAGACGAGACACCGGTTTACTTTGCTGTTAATTAATAATATCATACACATGCAGCCTTAGTAACTCAACAAGTGCCCTGTGCGGAAATGAAGGTTTAAAATGAATTTTTTAAAGGTTCAATGAGTTTTAATTTACTATCCTGACAGTATCGTATGTACACACGGCTGCACGTCAGGTTATCATAAATGTGAAATTATCACCGTATTGGGTTTAATATCTCAATGTATTAAGGTTTAATATCGAGTGGAGAAAGTTGACAGTGTCGTATAACCTGACATGTTGTTGACTGTACAATATAATTGTTAAATATTTTCAAATACTAAATGCTATAATAAACTGACATTTATTAAAAAAGCATTGGTCATACTAGCTCTATAAATTATTGACTTTTTGTTTAAAATTTAAATAATCATGTCATACATACATTATCCATTGAGATGACATTATGAAAAATACAGATTTTTATATATATTGACACTTATTTTCTTACAACAATTCTTCTCCACAGCTTTAAGGAGTCTAATGAAGTGTTACAAAAAAAATACTATCCAAAAGTGCCACCATCTTAAATAAAGTAAATTGAGTACATAAATTTAATAATTTTACAAATTTAATTTAATAATTAAAAATTTAATATCTATTGTGATTATAAGAAACATCCCCTTCATTTTAAGATAGTTCACCTCTCCATCCAAAGGTTGTCTGGAAGAGATCACTGTATAGTGATAGGACCGCCGATTGTGACACATAGCTTAATATTCTTCTTTGTTCTATGTATGTTTTGTATTTGGTGTTTACAATAAAGTGTTATCTATCTATAAATATAGATCTGTTGAGGCTAGAGTTGTGTATAACTGACCTGTGCCAAGTGATGCAGTATCGAGAGGCAGGCTAGAGTGGCGTTATGTTGCGAGTTGGCAGCGACTGTGAGCAGACGTTTGGCTAACGCCTGTAGTACTTCAGCAGACACGCGGCGGGCACGCGTGCATATATGGGTTATACTCTCTAATATTAACTTAGCATCTTCAGATGTTGTCCCTGAAAATTATTTAGATGTGGTGTAATTTCGAAGATCTAGAAATATTAGTTAAATATCGACGTACAGTAAAAAAAATAACAATAGGTCATAAGTGTAAAGACAATATAGTGAGTTTCGTGAGTAGGAAGTAAATGCAGTGAGTGTCATAAGTAGTGAGTAAAGACAGGGAGTGTCTTGAATAGGAAATCAATACAGTGAGTGTCATGAGTAGAATATCAATATAGTGAGTGTCGTGAGTAAGAAAGTCGAGTGTAGTGAGGTCCTAACCCCAGGTCAGGAACTACTGCAACGTGAGTGTGATAAGTAAGCAATGAATACAGTGAGTATGTGTGTTTTTTTATGAAGGTGTCTTACTGTTAGCCTCAGCTGGCCTCTACAGTGTAACCCGACATAGGACCTCAAGCCGAGAAGACGATCGTTCTCGAGACTATCTACTAGGAGGGCATCATTCCACGGGGAGGTGTCTCCGATCCGTCGTTGAATCGCCCTGGACTCTCTTGTCGGACGCTGGTATGTGTGGTGAGTGTGGTGTATTAAGCGGGGAATTCACTAGACAGGTATGCCCGCCTAGTAGAGTCTTGAGGACGATCGTCATCTCGGCTTGAGGTCCTATGTATCTCGCTGTCCCTTAGTCGGGTTACACTGTAGAGCCCCAATGCAGAACAACGAACGACACTGCGACATTGTCGCAGACAGTCGAGTAGGTCTGCAGACAGTTCGGCAGTCTTACATAAATAAAAAAATTACACTAGCAGAAACAGAATTTTATTTTCAGGTTTTTATAATCTGTCGCAGACAGATCAAAACCCTTCTGCTATGAGGCTGTAGAGGCCAGCTGAGGCCAACAGTAAGACACCTTCATAAAAAAAAACCACACACTGTATTCACTGCTTACTTACCACACTCACGTTGCAGTAATTCCCCGCTTTACCTGCATGCAGCGTGAGCGCGGCGCAGTACAGTTGGTGGTGGAAGCGCGCGGGGTCGATGTTGAGCGCGTCCCCCGCGCCCGCCAGGATGGCGAGCACGGCGCGCGCGCACATCACGCGCTCGTGCGCGCTCACGCGGTCGTGTTGGATCAGAGCGGACATTATCGACACCAGGTCCGAGTAGTACTCCATATTGATCACGTGCGCGAACCTAACGCGACGCTCATTATTATTCACTTGAACGTTAACACGATTTAAACTATGACGAGATCTTTACTGAACAAAACTGCTAAATTTTAGATCTAGTTGATAATGTTATACGTGTTTTGATTAATTTTGCATTCACAATGCCATACTGAAAAATATTCTTAATACAAAATGCTTAATAAATCCACTTGGTCCCCGGCACCCTGAGATGGGAATCGAACCCACCACCTTTCGCAATCCGGGTGTCTGCTCTAACCGCTGAACTACCCAGGACCTAACAGGTCTGACGAATCTTTCAAGCACTTGTTGCTTTTCGCTACTACAAAGCGTATTCTCATCAATGTTCAGGCATCCACCCAAACAGCCGAAAGAAATATTATTACAAAGATTGAAACTTTCGATAAAGATGAGAATTTTGTTGTAATTATTATATTTTAATTAATTTTGCATTCAAAATGCCATACTGAAAAATATTCTTAATACAAAATGCTTAAAAAGTCCACTTGGTCCCTGTCACCCTGATATGGGTTCATTTTGTTGGTTCAAAAGGTCGTAGGTTCCGAGTCCCATCTAAGGGTAACTGGAACTGGTGGATATTTTAAGTATTTTTCATTGAAGATCAGTATAATATTGTAAATGCAGAGATGATCAAATATAATACTCAGTTTAACTTTCCATCAGTGAATGAAAGAAATCGCTAAGTAATATTTACTAGACTTAATTATTATTATCACTGAACGCTATTGAATCTACAGTATCCTGATTACCTATTAAACCGCCATTTTATTGAAGGAGTTCGCTTTTATAACGCGAAGAAAAAGGGTCTTAAAACTAATTTAAGCGATTATAATCAACGATATAATTATACATATAAACCTTCTTCTTGAATCACTTTTTATATTTATGACAATCGCATTAAAATCGCTTTTATAGTTTATAAGATCTCAGCATACAGACAGCGGGAAGCGGAAAGGTTACAAAAGATATGTCAGATATAATTATACTAGAAAATAAAACCACTATCAAAATAGAATTTACACACTACTAGTTACTACTACGCTAGTTTTCTCGAGACTGGTGTCTATAATAGGCCAGGTTTCTACCTACCTATACATACAAACTATGTACTCATTTACTTAATTTGAATTATTACGATATCCCAGATGCTCTGTAGTAGGAGCATTTTACTGTTTAATAGTAAACGTAATAGTTCTAATCACCCGATATAGCATTTAGGAGTACCAAATGTCTTTTTAAATTACTTTAGGAGATAATCAAAATCAAGATGATATTTCTTGGGTAACATTTAAAATAAAATTGAAAAATAATATTCATCGAATTCTAGAAAACATGTCTTCACATTAAAATAAATCTACAATAATTAGATAAAAACAATCAAGAAAATTAAACTAAAACGCAAACAATAAAAATTGAAACAAAACAATGTTTCCGCCCGGGATCGAACCGGGGGCCTTCTGCGTGTTAGGCAGATGTGATAACCGCTACACCACGGAAACTATATCAGAGCGGACGAAATTACGCAACATTATTGTAGTGGTAAAAGCAAGTTTTATTGACCTACATAAATAATGATTAGTCAGTTATTTTGACTATGTACTTATTTCGATCAAATGATATTATATTACTGTCGTTTTATTTTGTTTAAAAAGAATTAATTTTTGCTTTCATCAAACTAGATTATAATAATTATTATAATAGGAATATTAAAGTGGATTTTTTAAAGCTTAATGAAAAATCATTAAGAATATTTTGCAGTATAACATTGTGAATGCAAAAATTGATCGAATATAGTAATGATATGATTATAAAAACTTGATGTTTGCTTAACAAAAATCAAAAAAATAGATAACTTGTTTCATCATCATCATCACCAGCCCTTTTACGTCCCCACTGCAGGGGCTCAGGCCTTCCTTATGGATGGTTAAGGAGGATGGGCCATGACTCTCCACGCTGGCCCAATGCGTGCGGAGGACTTAATGTGCCCTCCGAAGCACAGAGTAGCTCGAAATAATAATTTTTTGGTCACCCATCCTGTGACCGACCCTTGCGAAAGTTGCTTAACGACTACGATCGCGGGACGCGGCGCTTATCCACTACGCCACCGAGCTACTCTTTTTGCTTTTTGCGTTGATAACTTGTTCATTGGATTATTATTGCCTCTACGTTACAGGTTATTGTAAAATTATCAGACGGTGTATAGATTAAATTATTAGAGGCAGTAAAACTCGCAAAATCACCACTCTACACTTGTTTCGCCCCTCCATGGAGCGTCTTCACGAATTCTTTGACCTTACAGTAACGCGGGGGTCCACATGCGGTACACAGCAGGTCATGATATCATACTTTCCGGTTATAGCAATAGACTTCCGCAAAATAACGCCTGATTTTATTAAATACTTATAATTACATTATCACTAGCTGAGTTGTTGTCCTGTTAATATGAATATTGTATTGGAACAGTTTTTTTTACATCCTATTCGACGATATTTGGAGCACGCGTTCTGTCAATTCTATGTTAAACGTCATAGTTTGCATTTAAAAGTTAATACATATTATCCAAAGCACTAAGGTTAGATTAAAAATAATTTTATATGGTGGTTAAATATTCTTATATTTTCAAATTCGCCACACAATTTTCCTATTTTTTTTTTCATAAGAATCTCTTAATAACAATAACAAAAAATAAAAAAAAATTTGGTCCAGCCATTCACGTGTGATGGCGTGACCATGTGAAATAATGATTTATTTATTTATATTTATGTGTAAATATATATATAGTATAGATTATAGTTAAGTACTGACTTGGTGAGTCCCTTGAGCGCGGCGGCTAGTAGTCCAGTAGTGGGCGCGGCCTTCAGCAGTCTGAAGTATATGTGGAACACGGTCCTGCACACCTCCGCCAGTTGTTTCCTGCGCGACACCTCATTCTCCTGCGCCTCAGTTTCCAGCAGTTCACGTTCAACCTCCTTCAGCTTTTTGGCCCGCTAGTACATAATACAATCAAATATAATCTACACTAATATTATAAAGAGGAATGATTTGATCGTTTGTGAGTTTGCAAACGAATAGGCACCGAAACTACTGGACGGATTTTAAAAATTCTTTCGCAAACGGTAAGCTACGTCATATGCGGTGAACATAAGCCAGGGGTCGGAAACCGGTATATTTTTCGAAACGTTTTCATCTTAAATACCTAAAAAACACTTTGTTTCGGTTTCGTTCGAACAGAACGATATAAAAAACGGTTTTGGAAAAAAACAGAATTATATTGTTTTCGGTTAATAAAACGTTTTTAACCATTTATTTTGCGTTTTTTTGCATCGCATACTGTAAATAACGTAATAAAATAAATGTACGCCGCCCTTACAGCCCGCGCGGCACCGTCTTGCGGATTAAACCGGTTTTTTAAAGCGTTCTCATTTCGTTTTCGTTTCGAACGCAATCTTGCCCAAAGAACCATAAGAAACGTTTTAAAAACGTTATTTTGAATAACGTTTCCGAGCCCTGACATAAGCTATATTTTATCCCGATAAATAGACAATAAAGGGATGAAAATGAGAGTGGAAGTTTGTATAGGGAATTAAAACGTTACCATAGTAATGTTTGTTTATTATTCAATTTGTCAGTGTATAACCGCGTCATAATATGAATCGATATCCAAATAAACAGTTTAGAGACCACGCGGGCGAAATAGCTAGCGGAAAACTAATAACTGTATGCAGTTTACGATTTGCTACTTATATTATGAATTATGTTTGAAATGGCTACCTATATGTAAACAATAACTGCGTACGTAGTATTTTTTGTTTTAAATTAAATTGCAAGTATATTTTATTTTAGCAAACGCGAAGCCATGATGAAGCATCGCATGACGTCACATTTCAATAAACTAAGCTTCAACGTATGTTGAGAATGCAACCAGTACGCATGGTTATTAAAATGTGAAGTCACTGATTGCTTTCGTGGGACAATTTAAATTGGTGAACAAAAATATGTTTTCAGTCGAGCAGTCAGTCAGTCAAGCCAGTCAATGACCGACTAATGAAAATAAGCACAGGAATCCTCGCACTCCGCATGTAGGTCAACCTATCGACTAATGAAAATGAGTCTTTTAGGTACCTACATAAAATTATTTTTACACGCATATTTCAAAGTTTTAGTTTACTCTCATAGCATATTTTTTTAGAGTTTGAATGGAAAAATTGGAACTGTGCGTCCGCCAATATGTCACAGTCAAGGTCTCTTTATTTAGTAGGTAGGTACCTCTTTTACTCAAACGATTAGTTACCACTAGGACCTACATATTCAGACTTTATAAGTTGATTCATTCATTATGTTAAACGCTTTAAGATTTTTTCTTTTCCTTATTTAAAAATATTTGTTAGTGTTTTTGTTATTGTACTTTACTACATAGGGACAATATAATATTAATAGAAGATTTTTAGCGCCCTCCATCGAATACTAAAAATAACGCGACTGTAAGATGCAAGCCATGTACAAATACTAACTCATAATAGTAGGTACTGAGCGTCCTCGCGATTATATTACATGACGTCATACGCTTAAGTACACGGTACCTTGAAACGGTAAGCAAAGTTGTTCTAACGCGCACTTTTTTTTTTTAAATATAACAACTCAAGTTTTTTTGATTACGTATATTCATTCATTTTAAATAGAAAAAAAAATGTAAATTTCTTCATTACCTTTTTCTCCTTTTTAGACAAGTTAATGATACGTTTCTTGTGTTTCTCCTCCTGGTTCTTCTTGTGTTGTACATTATGTTCCGCATCCAGATCTATGTCTCGTATACGTAACGACAGTAGACAGTCGAGTGCACTCGGCTGAAGTCTCTCACCACGACGCTTCACTAACTGATTTATGAGACGGACTATCTGTAAATATATATTAATAAGAGATTTGTTTCATTTGGCCAAGTGGGAATCGAACTCTTGCTTGAATTATTCCATAACATTACCCAAAAAAATGCATATAATCACATTACTTGTATGGGAGCCCCCTTAAAGATTTATTATAGACTGTTTTTTTTTTGTAGAAATATAATCTATGAAAAATTTCAATTGTCTAGCTGTAACGGTTCATAAGATACCACCTGGTGACGCTGGCAGACGGACAGCGCAGTTTTTGCAATAGGGTTCTGTATTTGGGTTCAGTAACCAAATATCATCTATATACAAACAATAATTAATAAATATTGTATTGTAGATCCCTGATGCATACTCTGTAGGGGAAAATTGTTTTATATAGAGATGGAATATGCATTTTTGATGATTGAATAACCTAAGCCCTACGAGTTTAGGTAATTTTAGATAAGTTATAGTATTTGATTATATATTAACTGTATAATCCATTTCCTGTTTATAATATTATCACTCACTAGGGCTTAACTTGGCTTACTATTCGGTTTCACTATGGTATTCGTAAAAATATATTCCAGTTTAACACATTATAAATACTACATATTCCCTCTGTTCTAATTTTGTTACATTTAAAAAAGGGCTGTGTATATTTATTATTCGCCAAGCAGTTTGATAGTGTAAATATAACATGGGTAAATACAAAAAATAATTACCGACACCATAATAAGAAATAAAATATCAAACTTACAGTGAGAGTAATGTCTCCTCTCCGATCATCGTTGAAGACACTCTTACAGGCATCAGTGACTAAATCCCTCGCTCGCGAGTCTTTACAGTCCAAGAATGGTACAACACTCTGTGCTATATTTGTGGCATAGTTGAAGTGTGGCCTCGCTACTAGCAACCCTGACATGCAGGACAGTGATACTAGCGCCAGATTCACCGATGCCTCATCCGGTTTCCTGGGGACATATCATTACTGTCTCGTATTAAATTAATAATTAAATTGATACTTTATTATATTTGAAATGAATGTTATTGTTTTAGTTAAACTAAGCAAGTAAATAAAACTTAAAGCTGTTGAAGAATGGTCTGTACTCTTCTTCAAACAACTTAACAAGATTATAATAAAAAAAAATTAATGTTGACAGACCATTAAAATAGTTTAAAGTGACATTAGTGATACAAAGTTTTGAATAAAGAAAATTCATCAGAGCCTTATGTCATTAATGAATATTTGTGCAATAATGTTATTACAGTGACACCTATACATAATATAAAACAGTCGCTTTCCGCTGTCGGTATATTTTAAACAATACATCGTATTTTAATGCAGTTTTCAAGAGGAAGGTTTATATGTACGATACAGGATCACGCGGGCGAAACCGCCGGAGGAAAGCTAGTCTAAATATATATAACTCAAAGGTGACTGAATGACATAGTGATCTATCAACGCACAGTCCAAACCACTGGTCGGATCGGGCTGAAATTTGGCATGCAGGTAAATGTTATGACGTAGACATCCGCTAAGAAAGAATTTTGATCAATTCTACCTCCAAAGGGATAAAATTGGGGATGAAAGTTTGCATGAAACTGTGTCAATTTTAAACCGATCGGACTGAGACTTTGCATTCATAAAGCTACTATGACGTAGGCATCCCTTGAGAAAGGATTTTGAACAATTCTACCCCCGAGGGAATAAAATAGGGGATAAAATTTTGTATGAAACTTTGTCAATTTTAAACCGATCGGGCTGAGACTTTGCATTCATAAAGCTATTATGACATAGGCATCCCCTAAGAAAGGATTTTGATAAATTCCACCACTAAGGGGAAAAAATTGGGGATGAAACTTTATTTCAGGTATTTTATACGATAAAATGAATAAACATTCGTTAGAAACGCTGCTCAAAGTAACTTTATCACGCGGACGAAGTCGCGGGCAAAAGCTAGTATTAAATAATACCTGTTATCGCCTTTCTTACGGCGTAGCACCATAGCAGATTTCTCAAGCCGCTGTAAATACCTCTTGTAGAACTCCATTAACTCCTTCTCATATTTGTATAAGGATAAAGTATCTTTCTTCACTGTAAATTATAAATAAATAAAATATTATTATATATGATTAATTTTTAACTCTTAATGCTATACTGGAAAATATACTGAATGAAAAATGCTTAATTCGCATTTCACCTTTTAGTACCACATTTTTCATCAAGAACATAATATAATTAAATAAGGACTGCTCTATTAAAGCAGTGATTAGTATGTTCTGCCTGTGGTTATGGAGGTGAAATCACTTTCGTAATGGCCAGACATTATTTGGGTGATCATACATATATGATCTCAAGTTCATTATATGCTTTGGAGGGCACATTAAGCTACTGGTTCCTTGTAAATTTGCAGTTGTTGTGGCCGGTGGTTATTAAAAGCATAGGTATTCTTCTCGTTTCTTTTATGGAGAAGGAATGTGATGTTCATGGGGATATTAATAAGCTAATGATGATTATTATTAATTCAATATTAGGTTGGAGTATATGTGACTGGGCACTGAGCAAAAGATTAAAATTTTTGACAATAGTCAACCTAACTTATCTAAATGTTTTTTACTATAAAAACAGTGTTTAGATTCATTAGGTTAATAAGTGCAAAAAAAAAATTAAAAGAAGCAAGTAATTTTTTTATTATCAGTGCCCTGTTTTGTACACATAAAATATTTTCTCAACAAACTTACATTTCACATTGGAATAGTCTTGATGACGTATAAAGTAATCTGGCAAGATATCCTTGAATACTTCATAGGCAGAAAGTGTTGCCAACTTCCGGACCGAATGCAAGTTCAAGGCTCCATCCTTGAGCCGTTCTTCCATCAGATATAGAATAGGGAAGAAGTTCTTCAACTAAAACACACGAATTTTTTTAGTGTATATTTATGGATGAACTTTAGACGACTACAGTTTATATTGTATATATATTTTAGGATAAAGCAGGTGAAGCCGCTAGCGGAAAGCTACTTTTATATAAGAATATTTTTTAATTATTTATTGTCAGTTAAGACAAAAGGGAAACAATTCTTGCGCAGACTTGATTGTACTCTAGCCGCAATTCACACAGAAAACAAAAAATGCGCTTTAATACAGCGACAGGCGAGGGCCTGTGTGTCAGTCAGTCAGTCATTGCGAAGATCAGCACCTCAACGCGAAGCTACGAAAACAATTTGCAGTGTTTTATTATCGTTCGACGCGATCGTACGTGGAAATGATAATTAACACCCAAAACAGGCCGTCGAATTGCAGAGACGCTCGAAGTGAGAAGAAAAAGACGAATGTGCTATTATAATTATTGCATTTTTGTCAAAGGAGAAAAAGAATATATTACTAGCAAGCCAGAACCTCGCGCCATCTCGGGCATCCTTTCCTCGACTATAATACCTAACCACCAGTAAATTTCTCAGGCATTTTTTCATTCTGCCTGAACTGACCCTGTCATTTGTAGAGAAAAATGCTTACACATCCAGCCTCAGGTGCTAACTTCTAAGGTAGCTCTTGACCACTAGATACTAGGTGGTCAAGAGCTACCATACTCTAAAATAGAGTATTGTCCTCTATCACTATAATATTCTAAAATAACACTAATAGAGGACTCTAAAATAGCAACTCTTACACAATAGTTACATACCTATTAATTGTAAGCGAAAAAGAAACAAAAAATACTATTTAAAAATGTTAAATAAATGATGCTGTTGGCGACAGCTTTACCAGTGTCTTTATATATTTTTTAAGTTGAACTCTTATGACTTTTGGCACGTTTTGTCATTATTATTGCTTTTGCTGTCTATTTTGTGTTGTGTTTGTCGTCATTTAAAAGAGATTATTTTTATCAAATGATACAATCCACACTCCTCTATCAATAACAGATACTCTTATTATAAGTTCATATTTTTTCGATCTCTCCTTCAAAATCAGATATACTCTATTTCTTCTAATAAAAAGTTGGCAACCCTACCTCATCTTGATAATTTTTTTATGTTAAGATAAGTAAAATTACCTTTTTCTCAGGACTTTCAAGCAGTGAAGAGCATAGGGCACCAATTCGTAGTTTATCACGATTGAGCTGATCTCGCCTGGCAGCTAATAGCTGGACAGTGCTAATGATTTCACCGTTCTGTGCTTCATTTTCTTCCTCAGTGCCTTCCATTCCAGAGTCAGAATCTGTGTCTTGTGTTCCATCCTCTTCTTTAGAATCTCTCTTATCTGTTTCTTTTTGATCTTCTTTTTCTGAATCACTTTCTATAAAATAAAATTGATTACACATTCAACTACTGCAATTTAATCTCATGAAGTTGTTCAACATGTTGTTAAAAGATATAGCTCTCTTTCTAAACTCTTGTGTATTTTACTTTCTTGTGTATTTGGCTACACTATAGTCAAAAATTACATAGACCAAAAGGCAAATGATTAGGTTCTTTATCATTGTAAAGATTAAAACCAGGTAAACATTAATTTTCTCATCAATTCTTTTAACGGGGAATTAACCTTGAAATCTACCACACATTACAGATGTAATATGTCTAAAAACTACACCATACAAAAACAGGTAACAAATATTGTCAATTAATAGGAACTGCATTCAGAGCATAGGTGATTTCCATTAATTGGTCCACTAATAAAACAAGCACACAGAAAGACATATCCTTAAGACATAAAAATCTACTAGTTTTAAAACTGGTTTCTAGTACCATGTTATTATTAACTGAGAGAACTCATTAGTTTAATATTGGTATCTTGATAAATCACAATAATGTGTTCCATTCATAAGATGTTGAGATATTACTGAAATGAAATTGACATCCTCGATATATTTGTATCAATGAAATTAAGATCTAATTTGCCACTAGGTCTCCCCAAGTTTCAACAAAACCCTGTCAGTAGTTTTTGCCTGAATTATCAACAAAACTTTCACTTTTCTAATATTAGTGACATTTATTTAATTTTACAATCAGCATCGTTATAAATTATATAATCTTGAAAGAAATAAAAATAAGAGCATATTCACCTTCACATTCTGCCATTCTCTCCTGAACGCCATCTTTAGTTTTGATTGGAAGTAGAGGTTTCATTTTCTTGGCTGGCCTTTCAGCCATTTCTTTTTCATAGTTTTCCTCAAGTTCATCATCAGATAGGTCTATTTCACTCTCTGCTCCACTATCATTACTCAAGCGGTGTTTTGGAACTTTACCCTTATCAACCTTTTTACGTTTTCTTGACCTGTCAATGAATAATAATAAATTTGTCAATTTCATTGAATTTTCCTTCATTTCATTCCAATGAAAAAGGTGAGATGTAAATTTTAGAATAAAAAATAAAATAAAAGTTTGTTTGTAAAGTGGGTACCCTCTTCCTATCTTTGAAAATACTCATCATACATACATAGGCACTATGGGCTATCATTTACGGGGACGAAGTCGCTGCAAAACCACTAGTATATCAATAAATACCTGGCTTTACTTGCTTGCTCTTCCTCAGGGATATTGGAAAGCAATTGTGGTTGTTTAGCCAGACGGGTCATAATATATTTCTGTTCGTCATCGTCCAGCATATCAGCCCATTCATCTCCAGACGCAGAATCGCTTTCGCTACTATATTCCACTTGAGGCTGGGATGGTTGTTTTTGTTTTTGTACTTTTGTCCTATGCCTTTGCAGTTTCAGTTTACCTTGCTTTTTCATTTTATTTGTTGTTTGGTTATTTCGTTTCACTTTACTTATTTTAGGTTTTCCTTTTTTCTGTAAATTTAAAAAGTTTTTGGGTTATCTGAAAATGCTAAAATATAATGAGTTTTGATCTGAAATGAATAGCAATTTAATTTGGTACTTACAGCCATTGTGCAGAACTAATATATATATATAAATTCAGTAAATATTTAATTTTGTTTTATTAAATATTACAAACGAAATCGCAAAACGTGCAATCACCACGCTGAATTGACAGGAATGATTTGACAATGACATTTAGTATACATTCAACGTAAAATTGACACTATCTAAAACATTGTTAAAAAAACTTATGGACCTGATATATTTTTTAATTTTCTCTGAATAAACGAAGATTTGGAATTTAGATTACATATATACTAGAATTTATTTATTTGTTTTGTTGCTTCACTAGTTCTCCGAGCCTCCAGTATGGACCAATATATGATATGAATATCTCCATATGTTAGATGTTTGGCTGTATGTGTATTTTGGGGTTGCGTAGTTTATGTTCTTCACCAGAATATTAAAGTTGACGTCAAATGTTAACTTGGATGATTCGGATGTTATAAATCAAACGCCTCTTAGATACACATGTTATTTAATATATAGAACACTGGAAGTTTTCACTTTTTATTTATTTAGGTTTGCCAATATTTGTTTACAATATTCCTTACTTATTTTACTATTATTATGTAATTGCCACAAATTCTTAAAGCCAAACACAACATGTTCTTTTCTTGCGAAGCTAATGAGGATGTATTAAATAAATTAGTTCCCGAAACCAACCTAGATGTCGCTACGGTACGTTCTTGATTTCTCCATGACAACCCTTACCGGTTTTCTTTTATATATAAAAGTAAATTAATTTTCGAATCTCAATAAACAGTTCATATTTGTATTGGTTTCTAAGTTTCAAACTTTGCAAATTCCAGTTTTTTATTTAGTGAGGTGCTTTTTTTTTAAAATACTTCCTCATTGACTCGCTGAGAATAAATATATTAATTTTACATCCGTAACATAAACAATATGTAAATTATAAAGAGTATAATATACATAAATAGGTACTAGGTACATAAATTTCACTACAGGTATAAATCATATTGCTTTCCAATGAGGAAGTATTTAAAATAAACATTAGTTCCTGAAATCTTTTGACAACCTTTCCGGCCTTCTTTCAAGTTTAAAAGTAAATTAGTTTTCAAAACTCAATAAACAACTCATATTCTATTTGTGCTTTTTCGTATTTGTATTGATATTTTTTCGTAATATGTTAGTTAAAATAATCGGAAATGAATGTCTTGGTCCAATCGTTTCTTGCAAAAATCAACTTTTGCTAGAGTCGTCATCTAGTGGAGGTGCTTTTTTAGTGCTTTCGTTTTTTTTAGATACTTCCTCATAATGATAGTGTCAAAGGTGTACCAGAATTTATCGGCAAATTGAAAATTTTTATTTGTAGAAATCAACATTGGGTAAAAAGAATAAAGACGTCTTGATACCAATAACATTTTTAATATAATAAACATTTTTCTAAATCATTACTTCGGTAACTTTTTACTTAGATTAACCATCTGCGTGAGACATAATATAATACATAGGGGGAGAGAAAATATGTTTTCTTTCTAATAAATCAAAACATATTTTCTTTCTACTAAATGAAGTTATTAATTTATGAATTTGCACACTTCAGAATTTGTCCCTTCCAAACTGAAAAAAAATAGGCAGCCCTGGTGGCATGTCCAAATTCTTTGTTTTCATCGCTTTATTTTCTTACTTTTAAAGCTTCCTTTGCCTTTTTTGTTATGTTATTTATTATTTTCTTTTAAAGTGAAAATTAAATATTAATAATACCTACATTTTTTGTACATATTATTTTTAAACCACTAGTAATTCGTATAATAAAGTAATCATTCTTGATGAAAATTACAAATAAAAATCTTTTAAGTTTTTGAACGCCAAACCCAAACTTTCTATCTGTCTGTCTCACTAAATGTCAGTTACAAGACGAGACCTCGAAACTTTCATAATTCTAGTTTTTCTAGTTTACAAGAAATATTTTAAACTGTTTTTGAATTTGCTCTACATTCTATAGTGTTTATGTGGTTTATCATGCCATTTGAGTGTATTTTGTGAAATTTTCTATACGAAGTCTATAATGGTGCCTCAGCAGCAAAGAAGGAGGAGGCGTAGAGCGGCTCTAGCTCGTACTTCTGAGCGTCGTTTGGTCGTGGCGCGTGGACCAGGGGGGTTCGGGTTTACAATTGCGGGACAGCGACCCTGCGTGGTGTCCGCTGTGGCTGCTGGGGGGCCTGCAGAACGAGCAGGCCTTCGCGCCGGAGATGCTTTATTGACTGTGGACGGTGCTAATGTAGCTCGAGCGCCTCATGCGTCCGTTGCGAGATTAGTTGCTGCCGCGCCTGGTGCTATCTCTTTGAGTGTAGCTCTAAGGGAATCACCACCTACTGATACTGAAGACACAGAGCCAGATGAAAGAGCACGTACCAGAAGACGTCATCCCCCACCACGACGGAGACCACAAATGATGCATCATCCAGGTATACTACTGTAATTATGTAGTTGTTTTTCATGAACCATTGTGCTACTATGCAAATAAATTAATTATAAGGCTTTGACTGCTCAAAGCCTGATTGTTCTAGTTATTAAATAAATACCTACATTGTATTTAAAATCATATCATCGCCATTTGTACAACAAAAGGCATGTATTGACATTATTAATTAATCTTTTAGTTTAAACTATTAGAAAAGTATTATCTTTATTATTTTTCTAGAGCTTAATAGTTTTATGAATCTAACTGGTGCAGTGCTTGAAAAGAATAATTAAATTATTTATAATTGACATTTAAATATTTCACAGAAGAACTACATTCTATTAGTTTCAAATTATTTATAAGTATAAGCTATAAGGTTATTTTGGCATATTTTATTTTATATTTCGTGTGAGAATTACTCTTATGGGTGAAGGTTATTATTATACAGTATTATACAGTAGAAGATTATTTGTAACACCAAAGAGCTACAGACTGAAGACTGAAACAACCTGACATCTTTTTATTGTTACACAATTTATTTAAATAATAACAATAATAGGTAATATTATATTTTTAATTGCAAAGGCTTGAATTAACGTCCCTGCTATTCATAAGAGCTGATTTTATTATAATTATTCTTCTTGTCAGCCTAAAGATGTATTGACTAATGGACAATTCAAAGGTTCTTTTATTACTTTCATTTTAATTTAGCAACAAATGAAAGACAATGCTTTTTGTAATTATACTACGCTGATTCCATGAAATAACTATATGAATTTTACCTTTTGCAGATGGCTAACCAATTTAGGTATGTGAATTTCTGAAGTAAGCATAAAAAAATTGCACTATTGATTTTGTGTTTGTGCTTTAACCACTGTCTATTTCATGTAATGTATGTTTGCACACAAATTTTAAAGACACTAAATCAATAAACATAGTTATTTTTAATAAATGTGATATATATATGGAATTAATTGTGTTTTAGCAATAAATAATAATGAATAAAAATCTTTGGTTTGTATGCTCAAATGGAAAATGTTGTTATTAAAGAAACAGTTTCTTTATATTTTGTACATGTATAAATAAATTGTTTAATATAACATGTGGTGCTTATAGTCATAACAATGGGTCCACTAACATTAATAACTATTGTTCATTAATTTTCATGTTTTCATACTTATTTATTTTTCTAATTTACCATGATATATAAAATTTTCTGTAGTTGATTTTTAATTGTACCATGAATGTTTTAAGGTTTAAAATCAAGCGTATAAAAGTATTTAAATATAATCTGCCTTTTTTATAATTACATAAATATTTAATAGATTAAATATATTTTTTTATTTCCATCTCCTACTTTAGATTGAAATAAAAAAATATATTTAACCTTAATACAAATATTTATAAACAACTAAATTGCATGTAGATATTATGCACTCAATGTCTGCTATGTTTGCCATAATAATTGCATCATAGAAATTATTGCATCTATTTGCACCTATCACAACTCTATTTTTCATGAGTTTTACTTGTATATTTTTTTTCTATTTTATTTTTATTTAGATATATGCTTAAAGTAAATATTGTTTAATCACTATATATATTTTTTTAAATTTTATATTATGATAATTTTCAGGCTGTCATGCTGCACCAAGCACTTCAGGTGTTAATGAAATCCTTCAAAACTTGAGTCGCGTGCATCTTACATCCGACCACGCAGCCCGCCTCGAATGTAGAGCAGTGATGGGGTACCTAGGTACTATAGAAACACCACAAGCAGCTGCCACTGCCGCTCCAGGCAATGTAAGAACTGCTGTTAGGAAATTGAGACAAGAACGGCGGCCGGCTGCGCCGGTGCTACTATCTGTGCTTCCGAATGCTCTATTTCTTCGAAGACCTTCTGGACAAGTTTTAGCTCAATATCCACGCGAAAGAATCGTGCATGCTGGCTGTGGTTCAGAAGCAGATAGAAGATTCTTCGGACTCGTCACGTCGGCCGAGTCACAAGAGGCCGAAGCGTCGCATAGTTGTCACGTTTTTGCTGTCGACCCAAGAATGGCCGAACACGAAGCCCATATGATGAGAGCGAGAGAGTTCCAAGTCGCTTGCACGCGGGATCCAGTTGCGGAAAGGTGTTTAGAATTCCCACCGTCTGCCGAATACGTTGTCGGCGTAATCCGAGGAATGTATAGTTTACCGGCTGAAGAAAATGCTAGCCCAGGGATGCAGTCAATATCAAAATTAGCAATCAAAGGCGATAGTCCCGCCTTAGGTAACTTTTCGAGATGTAACAGGGCTGCATTCAGGATACCGCGAGAGCGTCGTCCCGGTCGCCCGGACGACGACGGCCCGGATTTTATGGCAAACTCACCGCAGCCCAGCAATCACAGCGAAGTGACAACGACGTCTAGCAACAGTGATTCCGGCATCGGTTTTCATAACGACTGCCGGAATATAGCAGACCGTATATTGGTCGTCGACTTTGCGAGAGGTCCTCCAGTGAGCGCATTCGTCCGGGAGCCGATACGTCGGCCGGTGGGGTTAGTGGGCTGCGGATTCGATGCCGACGGGTCGTTCCTTTCTAATGCATTTCCGGTAGTCGACGGTTTTGCGGGGCAAGGCCGTCCTCTCAATTTGGACGATGTGATGCTCAATGCGAACGAACCGCAGCCGGTGAGACGTCCTGCCAACGACGGATACGACTATAACGGTCGTGGTGGTGCAGTGTATGACCACGTGTGTAGTGAAGGTGAAGGATTGTACGAAGCTCCCGGAGGCTCGGGGTCTGTGGAGATTTATGAGGAACGATGGGGAGCGGACGGTGCCTCGGTCCGTTCGGCGCGTAGTCACGACGAGCCTGTTCGGGTCCGCCGTCACCACTTGCAAACATCTCTGGATGATATGCTCGTGTTACGCCCCCGTGATACGAAGCCTGAAAATGACGATGACAACTTTGTTCACCCGGCTTCTGTTAAGTGTAAGGTAGGTGTCGAATAAATGTTTCGATTATAACTTTCTTGTTTATATAGTTATTGTAAAACTGAAAAATCATATTAGATTATTTTTCGTGAGATTTTAAATTGTAAAAACTTGTAATGTTTATTACATCATTGCTTATAGTTTGTATTTGTCCCCGATTGGTAGGTTTTGCGTTCGTGTTTGGTATTTAGCAATTTGATATTATAATATAGTAGTTTTTACAATTTTTCAGTGACATGATGTAATAATGACAAATTATTTTGTATTATTACTTCATATTATAGTTACTTTATTAATACTACAGTGTCTATTTTTTATTTGTTTCATAAAAACCGGTAATTTATTTTTATAAGAAGATATTATTATAGGAAGTACTTCAACTATCTTACCATATGTAAGTTCTTTTACTTATGTAAATAATATATTAGTGGTTATTATTCAATGAACAGGTTCGAAAATCGATAAAACCTCTGAACATTCTATCCAAGACGAAGAACATACTGTCAGGTCGCGATCGTTCACGTGAATCACGTGATGGGGACGCGCAGGAAGAGAGGCACGGTGGAGAGAGTAGAGATGCCAGGAGGAGAGCGTTGAGTGCCTCCTGCGGGGAGGTGTGCTCCGTGACCGCTAATGAAGACGGAATAGCTGGTGCGGCCAGTGAACCAGACCTCAGAGATACACAGGTGAGATCATAGTTTAAAAAAACATTAAATCATGATGATTCTACGGTCTATAAACTTTTAAACTTTCGTGTTGCATTATATTAGATTGTATAAGATGGGTATTAACGTGATAGATTTTGATAGTTATGTTTTTCACCTACCTGTATTTCCCGACGTTTCGACCAGGTTCCGTAGTCACGGCCTAACTGTCAAAATCTATCGCGTTTGTCGGTAAATTTTTGAAAATCTTATAATGTCGGGTATATCATTGACAAAAATAGCAAATAAGACTGGTCCCAACTGCCAGCCCTGGGGTACTCCAGGGGTTAGTTTCTTTAATTTTGAATTAAAACCATTGAAGACGACATAAAAAGAATGGCGTTCAAGATAAGATTTTAATCAATTATATATAAATAGTATATTCTGATCGGCAAGTGTAAGTTTTAAGTTAACACGTTCACCAGTGAGCGTGTTAAAAACTAGTATGGAATTTCTTTAGATTAGTTCGTTAGAGGCGCTGTACCGGATTCCATTCTAAAATCTTAACGCGTTCACGGTCGACGATGAACGTAAACATCAAAAAACTTCACTAATGCCCGTTTTCACTAAACTTAGAAGTCGCCCAAACCTGACACCTAAATATTTGGGCATTGTCAAAGCAAAAATGCGTTTCACCAATGACAAAGAAACACCCAACGACTTTGGGCAACGTTACGTTACAACTTTAAGTTAGGACATGCATTGTGCGATGCCTAACGATGGGCATTTGCATTATGTGACATATACATTTACTCTTTGGTCATAATAGATGTGTCAAGGGATAAAATCAATTTAGTAAGTTGGAATCATGGAGTTTTTATATATTAGAATTAACAAACTTAAACAATGAGATTGTTTGAATTTTCGGATTTTTTTATATAATAAACAAAAATATAATATATAACATATTATGTTCATTGACGATTTAGATGCTCGTGTAGATGAAGATGGATTATTTTTCTTGTTTTATTACCTTGAAATTTAAATTGTTGTTATTGTATCTTTACGTGTGAAGACCACTACCGTGAAATTGGCGAAATTGTGTAAACGCAAATAACCCATCCTTAAAAAAAAGATGACGAACTGAAGCATGAAAAATCATAGACAAATGTTGCCTACCTAAGCAAGTCAAGTAGTTAAGGTATTACCTAACCTTACAGGTTTGGTAAAATGAAAAATCTACTTAAGCTATTCTTTATATTAAGTGATTTCTAGTTAAGCTATGCCTTATTTTAGGTTAGTTAAAACGGGTGTAAGTGCTCTGATTTTGAGTCATAAAATCATATGATCATTTTATCTCAAAATTAAAAGTAGATATTTGTTATTTGTATATCACGTGACTTGAAACACGACTAAGCAATGGTGTGACATCGTTCCGGCAACATCTGTCAGCTTAACCGTAAACAATGCTTATTTATATGTTGTACGTATCGTAATGACGTCATGAAAATGGCGAAAAGCGTTTTAAGCTGGTTTTAGTGTAACGCGGACTGTCCGTGCTGACGTCTAACCGAGTAGCTATCAGCATAAGCTGCCAGCGCATACTCGTGTCAGTGTCGTGCTGATCGCTGCCAAATACAGACATGGCTAATCCTGTAACTTTTCATATTGCTGCAGTGTATTATTGATGAACACAGCAGCAGTGCATGTGTGACATTGTACAACCAAATGACAATGTTTGAAACAGAGTTAAAAGGGATGACGATACCAAGTCCTTTAACTACTTAAGCATGTCAACAAGAAATTTTGAGGCGTTAATTAATGGCAAACGTTGTAGTAGTACTTGTTTTTGGCATCTTTATTTTTGTAGAGTATATCGGATGCATTCTCACAATTCTCCTGTGTTCATCGCCATTCCACATGAGTGTACACGCTGACGGCGTAAGCTTGATTCAACACTGGAATGCTCGCTGAAGACAGCGCAGTAAATCAGCGCTGACCGCTTAGTAGCGCCGACTGACTGTCGTCAGTTCAGAGCGGTAACTTTAGAACGCTTCTATAGAGCCCATACATATTGGCCGGTCAGCGCCGACGGTCAGCGTGATACTAAAACCTGCCTTAATTTTAAGGAGAGTAAATGCATATCTTTTTCGGATATATTTTTTATGACCTTTTTAAATTAAAATGAATGCTAACAAGTCTTATTCGATACAGAGTATAACACCCTATTATCCTATGTTGGAGACTGCGTCTGACTTCATAGACGTTCCTTATGATAGAATCGAACAGGGATAATGGGCCACCACACATGACCAGTCCGTATTGCCGGTTTTTACCCGACTGCGCGACGCAAAGGACGGTAATGTGTTCATCAGTCTATGTATGCATGTATGTATGTTTGTTTCTATGTGGCGTTCTAGAGACCAAATGCGTAGGCCGATTTTGATGATTCTTACGTCAATCGATTCGTCTTAACCTTGCGAGTGTCACTAAAGACATGACAGTGGTCAACATTCACCACAGCGACAACCAGACGCCATATTGTCTAAATGAAAAAAATAAAAATCGATGAACTATGTCAAGTGGGGTGTCGTTGAATGGGTATTTTAAAATCATCTTTAGGTTCCTTTTATCATTTTTCATTTTAAATAATAGTTTAGGATATATAACGATTTAAAGTTGTTTAACAAAACATTCTCGCTAATTTTCTTACTTATTGATTAAAGTTTTTCAAACAAAAAAAAAAACAGTGAAAAAGCATGAAGAACAAATATTTTTGGTAAAAAAATAAAGCATATGTAGCTTTGAGCCGAGTTAGGTCTCTAGAGGGACTAATCATCAGTAGTTTAAACCACCGCAAGTTACTTAATAATCCCCACGATATTAACTCCCTCAATGAAATAACTTGATTGCTAAATTTACCATCTTATAACGAAGTCAACGAAACGTAACAAAAAGTATAAAATAAAAATCAAAAATCCCGACTGCGTAAAAACAAATAAAAAAAATGAATAAAAAAATTAACTTAAGTAAAAACTAAAAAGAAAGAAACAAGCCCAGTAGTATAGATTTCTGTTAAGTAATACAGAACTGAACGACTTATAGTCGGGGCCCCTTGGGAAGATTTGAATGGGCCCCCTCAGACCAAATAAAAAGTATAGACGGAGTTTTGCCTAACAGAAAAGTGAAGCCGGCAAAACTACGCCTCGGCGTATTCGTACACAGTTTCACGCACACACACATAACGAAACTACGCCTTCCTTATCAGTCTTACTAAAGACAGTGTGCGGAACGTTTCATTATAAAAAAATCAAAAATTTCTTACTAACTGCCGAATTGTGTAGTAAAAGGTTGTAAAAACCAATCCTCAAAAAATAAAAAGCAGGATGGAATCACATTTCACACATAAGTATTGGAGAAAACTTGCGTTTTCAGTAATTTAAAAATTAAATTTAAGTAATTGCTTGGAACACAAAACCTCAGCCAAATATTACCATCGTTAAACGTTATTATTTACCCCGAAACCAGGTAACTTTAATATTATAACGCATTATTTCTAACAAAACACAAATGACGTAATGTATTTTTTTCTTGTTGTATGGAAATGATATTTAATAAATTTTGCATTCAAAATGCTACATAGAGGTCCAGATCACAGATATTGAAGTGTTAGAATAAGGAAGTAAAAAATAAAAAACAGGTTTATTTTTTTACTTCCTTATTTTAACTAAACGGGTTTGCATACATTTTTTCATTTCCAAATCGACATTAAAATGTGAAAGAGAAGTGGATTTCAGTCATTCGTAATAGTCGAAATGAACCTTCATGGAATTCAACTTCGCACAGCGTAGTTTGTTCGACTCATTTTAAGAGCGATGATATGTATTATACTATAAAAGAGTTACGTAGAATAAAGCAAAACTTATATCCAAAGGTTTTCTATATATTAAAATTTTGGTTAACATAGTGGAAGTTTTCAAACTTAACTTAAAAATTAATTAAATAGTCTCTCTAATGTATGGCCTCCAATAATAATTACCTACTCTTAAAGATTTTAGAATATCTATGCTGATATTGACAAACGAATTTACATTATATTATTAAATAGCATAGCGTTAACGTTAACTCTATAACGTCGTAACGTTAAGTTATTGGGGTGTTTTTAATGACTATGGTCACACTGGCACGCACACTACAATTGCTAAAAATCGGCTTCACTTTGTTATTCAGCGAACTCCGTCTTTACTTTTTATTTGGTCTGAGTGGGCCCCGTTCTGTTCTGTATTACTTAACAGAAATCTAAACTACTGTAGCGTTACCATGAGTTTACAATGACCGTACTCGCTAGCGACTGCGTAAATGATTTGTATGGAGAACTGTACAGCGCTCCTAGCGGTCACTTGTGAAACTAAAGATTGCTAGTATGAGTCCTATAGTAAATTTACCTATCGAAAGCCAATCGCTAGCGACTAACTTTTTTTACGTTTCGTAGCTTATCCCATAGAACATCGGTACCATGAGTTACAAATAAGATAAACGTCATCGAGAAATACCGTAGCGACTGTAGTTAACTCTCTCACTTGCAAAACGTAGCGTGAAAACTTATTACTCTTGTTAGAGTATTGTTTAATAGATTATTTTCAGTTATTATTGACCCAAATAATGTCAACTAGGCATTATATGTATCATAAGCTGTATATGAAGACAAACGACGAGAACAGAGAAAAATTTGAAGCGGATATGAGAAATATTAGTGAGAATAATTTTATCAAATAATATAGGCTTAATAAGGAGTTTTTTGGTTTACTAAGGTCACCATTTCTGTTAAAACATTAAAAAGGGATACGTGATATGGATAACAACAAAAATAAATAAATGAATGTTTAAATAAATGAACAGGGTTAGATCGATAGCATTGGATTAGGTTGTATATTCTTACTATATTTCAAAAATTTCATAAACTGCGTCTATTTTAAAATTTTTATGTTTGATAAATTACAAAAAACAATGTATTATATTATATTATTAAAGTCCCGCTAAAA